CCTTCCGCAAGATAACCTAATAAGGTTTTAATGTGCTCACTTGCGAGGTATCATAGAAGTGTTCCGATCTAAGGGTGCATTTCTTCGATGCACGAAAATAAACAGCTTAGAAGTTTACCCCAACGAATTTTGCCTGGCCTTCTAACGAAATACGTTTTTTTCCGTCTTCCAGCTACAGCTTAGTTTGTAAATTTTTCACGTCAGTTCAGTACCTACGGCCCCTAGAGCTACCATTGAAAATCAACAATTGAAACAAATCTTGCCTCTTATGTATATAATGCATGTAATGCTAGCATATGGCGAGACCAGAACCCTGGCTAAAATCGGCCGGCTGCAGCCCACACTCACCATCGATAGTCCGGCGGCTTTCACTTGCTCTGCAGATACAACAGCCTTCGGACCGCCAATAACGCCTTTCACAGCGGCATCAGCAAGAGACGAGTCAGTAACAGCATTGCGACCTTTTAATCTACGTTCGTACGTACCATATCGCGTTCGGCCTCAAGCTTTTTATTCCGTTTTGTGACGCTGAGCAGTCGCGGCAGCCGTAGCCTACTACTTTCACTACTACTATGACTGCTCATAAAGACGGAAATTAAGCAGAGCCTGTTGCTGTTCCTTTTCTTTTTCGTTGCTGTCTGTTAACGTTGTCGTTTTACTGCTGCTACCATTATTGTTGTTGTCGTCGTCGTCGTCGTCGTCGCTGAATCGATGCCGACAAACGCTGCCCCGCACCGTATTGTCTGAACTTCTTGGTGCTGCTGATATTGGGTACAGTCAGTGGTGAGCGCCGGCTTCGCTTGTGAAATTGTTCGCGCCACGTAAAACAAACGCCGTGCGACTGATGAGGACAGAACAAACAGAAACCCAGCAGATCTCGGCGGACCGCAGGAAGCGCTTTTGCGAAACAGTCTGTTGATGCGTTTTCGTGCCCGCGCTACATACTTAACCGTCGCTGTTTCTTTATTACTGGCCACCTCACCACGACTAGGTCCGCCAGCAGCCGAGAGGAACACGGCAATCAGAACGACCGACTATGCCATGGCTTTACTAATGACGCGACATGTCCGTTCCTTCGTCCGCGTACTGCTTATCTGTATTGGACGATTTTGATTTGGTCAGCCGGTGGTACAGCCTGGCCCATTGGGTTCTATCCCAGTCGCGGCTAACTGGATGGCGATGTGAAGGCGATGGACGGGTGCGGTGAAGATTCACTGAAGGGAAGACGGAACGGGAAAAGATCAAGTAGAACGAAACTGGCTGGCTGGTTGACGGGTAGGAAAAGGCGATAAAAAAATAATTGTCATTTATGAGATTCTTGCTATCGATGTTGAATCTGAGAACCATCATTATATTAGCATAGCTAGGAAATGAACTAACCAGCAAGAAGGCCTTCGCGTATAATAAAAAAAAAAACAAAAGTTTACGTACAATGATATAATGAGATTAATGGTCGAAATAAAGTTAGGTTCGAACTTGGCAAAACTTGTTCTCTTCTTGTTTAGCCATATAGAATAGGACAATATAAATAATAAAAGCATGTACGTATGAGCTGATATTTTTGTTAAATCAGAGGAATGATTGTCTTCTAGCGCATATTTTCATTGCTGACTTAATAAATACTCTGAGTGCTTAAGTTTCTTACGGTTTAATAAAACCTATTGTGCCCATTTACTCTCTATTACTCGATTACGGACTAAGAGAACAGGCACAGATAGGGCTTGAAAGCTACAGTTGACCAAATTTCGATTTAAAGCGTCGAGGTACTGCTTGTATCGAGGATTTTTTCAACGCTGCACTGACGTTTACGTCATACAAATTCATCACTCGACTACCATCTTTCATACGTTGACATTGACTAGCCATAGCTGGGCCTCTTCTTCATTAAAACGAGATGTGTCTTCACACTACTGAAAGCATATACGGGTGTCGATTGAGTTGTCCTGACGGCAAGCGAAAAGCTTTGGATGAATTAATTGACTGAGATTAGAATTTCTACGTTACGTTATTACGTTGATCACTCTCAGTAGTCAGAATAGCAATGAAAATCGCCAGTCAATTATATTTAAGTGAAAATATAAATAAATAAAATATGTGTCTGTTACACACAGGATACTGAAATAGGTTGGGTAAAGCTCATCGAAACGTTTTATAAAATCTATAGGATTCGTAAAAACAATCATGCTGAAGCTTTATGGTGTATTCGATTATAGCTCCACCACGACCCTTGTATCGATCTGTAATTTAAATTGACGAGTACCACAAATATACTTACTCAAGGACCTGTATACGTGTTTTTACGGTTATTTAACGTAATTTATACACGAACCCAAAGAAAGGAATGCCGAAGCGAGTCCTGTTTATCCGCACGCAGCACTTACGAATGTCTGTATCGAACGCCGGAAGGTCTTCTTTCTAGAAATCGATGCTTCTTCTATTCAAATATGTTATCGTATTTTTAATTTATTTTGGTCATCGCTTATTGATTGTGCTTGCCCCGAAAGTGAATGCGGCAAAATTAGCTGTTTTACCACGCCATAATTACGATAATCTCTTGATTCTATGTAATATTTTTTTAAACTTTTCCGCCCCTTTACTCTTCCTTCCTTCTAAATATTGACAGGTGCATATCTATATCTCTTTGGGCTCTGTTTGGCTTCGGGCTATTAAGCCGCCGAAATGTATCTGTTTGTCTACCCTCGTGCTTTCTTTGTCTTGTTAATGTTCGGGTCTTATTTGAATTTTTAACCCAATGAAATTTGAAGTCGAAGCATGAAGTGGAATCGAACATCAATGTTCGATGTTCAGACCAAATTCATGGTTTACTTAATCGTTTTATAAATACCCCAGCAACACAGGGGTAAACAGGTCTTTCTTGTACATCATCCCTTCTGACAAAATTTCGACTAGTGAGGAAAACGTTCCAGCCCCTAGACTAGCAAGGCCTCTGGCGAAGCATAGATTAGGAAATGTTGCAGATGTCAACGATCGAGCGGTGATCACACAGTAAGTTACGAGGAAGCTGTTCTTCCTATAGATAGCTTCTAAACGTTTCTTCGAAAAAATGCAATAACTACGAACATTGATAGGCTTGCCGTTTTTTGAAATAGGTGTATCGAAAGAAGTGTTGATAATAATGATTGAGCGACAAATATAATAGTGACGCACACACGTTCCTATGCACCTATAACGCTGAAGTATCCGTTCTTATATTATATCTACCTAGACCTAGGTACTGAGGCAATTACAATACTTCTAACATAAACAATTGTAAAGGGACCAGTTGATTGGATTTCATTGATTCAGTGGTTCGTTCATCAGTTCGACGTGGCTGTAAGCTGCCGCACTGCCACCTTATTGTATTAACGCTCTAATGTTGTTGTTTGGTACAGTTGATAGCAACGCTCGTGAGAAAACCTGAGTTTCATTATGAAGACTAGAACACTGCTGCTGATTGATGAGGAGTCTGAAGAGTATGGCGTAGTTATTGGATTATTATATATAGAGTATTATAGTCTTCTTATTGCGTATTCAGTACCTTTAAGTGTACGTTAGTGTCTCCGTTAATTATCGACTGGCTATCGACTGTTTATCTTTGCGATATACCATGGAACTCTTACTAGAGACTATTTCCAAAAACGAATTTTAATAATAGTTCCGAAAATATATTTGCCATTCTCGTTCCTGTATGTATTAAACTCCAAACACATTATCTTTCTTGGTATTGGACAACGATAATTTCTAATAGAATTAATTTTCTTCCGAACACAAGTCAACCTGCTCCCAGACGACGAGCATTTCACACCCGTTAGTAACCAAATACAACCCCTGTAAGTGGTACCAGCAGCCAGAAAAGCATGAATCTGTGTCAAAAAGCAAAGTTTATCATCTGCCTGTTGTGGTGTTGTTTACGCCTGAAGAGTGAGCGTCCAGTTCTTCTTCGTCATTCTTTAAAGTGCTTCGCCTTCAGAAATGCGTCCATTTACGTAACTCCTGTAAAACACAAATGATAAATTTGTCATATCATACATTTCGCAATTACCCGATCTGTGTTCAGTCGCTGTTTTCTAAGTCCGAGCTTTAAATCCCAAATCTTTCCTGCTATATATAATATATAGAGGACCTTTTTCATATATTAAAAATAACGAAAATGTCTTTAAAAAGATTTTCAACTGACAGAATTAGCTCACATCCGGCCGATAGTGCCGTCCTACCGTAATGCTGCACATTGCTTTGTTCTTAAACCTGTGCGTGCGCATCTATCTAGTAAACACGTTATAATTCGCTCTGATTGAACGATGAGACCAATTTTTGAATTCGACCTTGTTCAAAGGCATCCTCAATCTATGTACGTCTGTTAAACGCCCGTCGATGACAAGCTGACTACGAATATCGCTGAGACATCAACTAGAGTCCAACGAAAAGACCAATCGATTCTACATTATGGTCTACATATGTGTATTTTGATGTAAAGGACTGTTTCAGATCACCCTGCTAGTCCTATTGATTACGAATGCTCCGTTATTCCAGCAACGTCATAGGGACGAATTGGGTTAAGACTAATTCTTATGCATATATATATATATATATATATATATATATAGAGATATCTCTATATAAATGCATCTATATAATATATATAAATTCTAGTAATAATCGCACATTCGTAAACTTATCTGCACTTGATTCCTAACAACGACAAAGATATACAAATATATAGAGATGCGCACAAATTATGTTACATCTGATGTACTCTTGAACAGATTACGTAATGGTAGGTTCATCTAAAAATATCTGTGACAAACCCTGAATACCTGCATGTCTAATTGAATCATTTATAGAAATTGCAATTGATACGTAGATCTGAAGCTATACTTACGCATGCTAGCAAGCGTACAACTTTAAAACAAGTTATATATTGATTTTTTTTTAAATGTTATCATGGGTAACTCCCTCTCAGCGCGGTATCCTCTAATCGATTCTATGATTGGCCTTTTCAGATGCTCTGTGCTGTGTACTATTCCTTATGTCCTTTGTCGCGTCATCGGACAATAGCGTTCTCGCTCGACCTGATGGGGGTAAGGACAATTAATATAGAGAAGCATTGGCAAACACAGTTTTTCCCGTGGAAAATCCTCTTTCGAAAAACCCTATTGTGATGTCGAGTATCACTTTCACTAAGCACACGTCTCGTTCTTGACACCGACCACATGGATAATGCGTTGATCATCGCGCTTCGACATCTTGTTTACCGAAACTTGTATGACTCATATGTAAAACCATAAAGCTCAAAGCAGTCGAACCGTGTTCGATTTGAATAATGTTAAGATGCTATTCATCGATCTATAGGGCGTAGCTTTCTCTTTTTTCATAATCATTAGTAACGTTACTAACAGACTATCTGCCAATGCTGGCATACTTTTAGCGACATAGCGATGAAACTAGGCCTACGATTATGTCTATGGATACATAAGCCTTAAACATGTCACCTACAAACAGGAATCTATTGTCTACTGCTTAGGTTAGAATTCAAAAACGCCACGTTTGATTTGTACTTGTAAGATCCCTTCAAAGAATTAGATGAGTGTGTAGGAATGGGTTTCAATTGCATTTTATAGTAATTCCTATTAAACAATATTGAAATCACAATCATTTATGCATCACCTGATAAGGTTGTCTGATCGATAACCAGTCCAGTTGGCGCGTAAGGGTCTTAAACCTAGTTTTACTACAGACATACGTCACAACTGCAGATCATCGTCAACGGGTTCAATATTTGGAAAGCAATAGGCACTCCAAAGGTGAATTCCCATTCCGCTTTCATCTATATTTTATAGTGAACTGAGCTCAACCGCTCAGAGAAGCCCACAGATACGCCGATACGCTTCTTAACCCATTTCACCTTCTTCATAGGAGCATGCGTCTTTCTAACAAACTTCTCGCTGAGCAGTTACGAAGCCGCGAGTTTCCAACGCAAAGCTGTTTGGGAGTTGTCTATTGAATTTTGTGGGTCATATTCTAACCTGCTTTGAATGTAAACGGATCGCAACCGAGAACGGGTTAAGGCCGTGAAATACGAACTATTTCGTATAAATGCGCGAATGGGTCTCGTGGGCATTTTGCGAAATCAGGATACGGAATGTAAACTTTTGCCGCAAATCTCCAGCACAGAACAGCGCCCTTAGACATTTAGGTTTTAAAAACGGGACCATGTGTAGATCTTATGCAATATAGTAATTTATTTATTTGCCTACCCAGTCTTGCAGTGAATTTGGCAGAAAATCAAAACCATAAAAGAAGCACAATATAAAACATGTTATTTTTAGCATTCGACTAAGTGCCGAAAAAAACGACACCTTTCGTTTATTTTCGCAAAGTGTAGGCCCAAAAAATATTGAGTTGCTAACCTACGTGTTACAAAACGTACATACAACGTGCGTTTTATGAAGAGGTCAATATTTTACGCACGTGCTATGATGTGTGTGGTTTATGTATTCATTGTTAATTGCGCTTTGGATTGTTATTTTTTATACAAAGCGTCTTAAAATCGATTTCGCCGGTTAGCTCAGTCGGTTTGTTGCATTTGTAACTGTAGGCGTAACACCTAAGTGTCGCTGGAAACCTTAGCCGAGGCGTCCGTATGGATGGCGTAAACAGCTCGTACGAGCTCGACGGCATTAAAAGCAGTGCAAAAAAAAGGACCCTGGTTGACATTCACTAGTCCCTAGCCAGTCGAAGGAACTTCAACAAACAGCAGCTTAAAGAGGCGCTTCTTTGGCAACCGGCTATTTCACCTAGTGATTCTCTTCCGTTTGATAGATGCGAGTTTTCTATGAATCGATTAGTTGAAGGCTAGAAACGTTATCGTTCGGGGAACAACAACCGGCTTGGACGCTAGCCATTTCTATTTGAAGTAATATCTTAATGCAAAAAAAATGCTAGCACCGTTCAAACCTAAAGTAATGCAAAGGTGATTGCTTTTATCACTAAATAGTTTTTCGGCAGCACTTTATTTTCCTGCAATAGATAGAGCCTTAAGAAGAACACCCGAGGATTGGTGTGGTAGTCATTCATAACTGCAATGATTAGGTGTTACGAGGCCCGTCTTTTACGATGATGATACCCATTGAAAACTGTCAAATCACACCTGCTGCCTATACTCGAAGTGCGGACATTTAAATATGGCGGCAGCGTATGAATATTTTATTCAAGATTTATTTTCTGATTTGCAGATCTCTGTACGTGGATGAACGGTCGAAAATACTACATTGCTGTGGGCGAAACCGGAAGTATTTCCGCTGGAAATGTGACATCCCAGAGTGTGCCGCTAAATGATACCTGGTCACCTCGTATTCCGCAGAGATGTTCCATTGAGCTGATCACATGCCCTAGCTGTCACTTCGAGGTCTCTGTGAGCTATCTTAATATACCGACCTGTAGCACTAATGGAAAATGTCGGTAAGTGTTGCCCTTTTCATATATGGCAATACACATTTAAATATATGAATCTTGTTGACTTCAAATGTTCGTAGTATTTAAATAAAGACTACTATTAGATACTGGAATAGAGCTTAGTATCAGATTTTCAACGGGGTATCATGATTCACCTAATGATGGATGGCGCATTCCGTGTAGTCCGACTCCAGATAAGGTAACTCAACGTGGCCTGTCACGATGCCTATCGGTGTTCTGTCCATCAACCTGCCTCTGCTGGTCTTTATGGTAAATTAAAGCAAGCATTGCGGAAAGGATAGTGGATGACATTGTTGAAAGATATAGATAGACGTTTGTGTAAAAGTACGTGATCTCAGTAACGCAGCCCATAAACAAGACTTGTCTGTGACACTTGTTGACTTTCTGATTTGACGACGCGGGGCAGTAACGCAACAATATTTGGCCCGTGATAAATAGCATGCGAGCACCCTCTTCTCGGCAACTGCAAAGGGACAACAACCACAATACCGGGCAGATCTGTCCTCTAAAGTTGGCCTATTAGACGCGCTGCATCCATTTACATCTATCATGTAACATTTCGAAATCAGTTTGTCCTTCGATCTACTTATTGAGATGGCTGCCCGTGCTGTCTAAACGTTACCCTTAAAATAGGCAGAGCAGTATTCGAAGCTTTGTTCTCTATAAGTATGCTTGGACTTTAAATGTCGTCAGGTTTGCATTTCTGTAGCGTATCCTCAACATGGGAATAGAATACTAAATAAAAATATATCAGAATCGAATCTAGACTCGATGAAACCTGAAGAAGTAGAGCTTAAGAAAAAAAATGGCTTTTGATCTCTTCGAGCCAAACAGACATTTCCCTTGGTCCACAAATACAAGCAAGCGAAAATCCTACTTAAAACATGTAGTCTCGAAGTGTTATATGATTACAAAAAAAAGTTCCAGAATAACATGGCTTTACTGCTAGTCAGTTGTCCGCCATTATCGTTACCAACTTGGTAGCAATTGACAAAGCTGTTGCCATATCCATTTTTCCTCATAGCTACTAGATCGAACGATTTTTTAACCGAATTGCAAAAATCATCAACCTTTCAGCTGTGACTACGTGTGGGTAAAGGAGCCAACGATTGGACGACTCGGTGAGGAGCTTTGTGGTGTACGTCGTAATGAATCGGGGATGAATGGAAGTGGGGCTGGAACCACTGGGCTGGTATTCGAGTCTTTGCGAAAGCTCCTTTCGATCGATTTTCTCTACTCTTACTCCTATACAGATGCGTTTAGCCTCCAAGTAACGGCAAAAAGTAAGTAGAAATGCGGCTCTAGTCGATATTTCGAACTCTTATAAGGAGTGCTATAATCAACAATATAGTCTTATAGGACCTAATTGGTGGACAAAAAAATCGCATGCCTGTTACACAGCCAATAGCATTCCTAACAGGACAAACATGTTCATAGATAGAACAATGCATTTATAGATAGGCATTTGGATACATTATAACTACAGCTGTTCATTGCTAAAAGTAAATACATCATCGATCCATGTACGTCTCTCGTGTGCCGTAGTTACTGTTATACTGGTATACTGAGAATCAGGTAACTTCAGGCTTTCGCTTGGACGAACTTGCGTCAACTTTGTTCACCGTAAGTTATATACGCTGTCAGCTTTGCGGTGTCTCCACGATGGAGCCCAAATATAAGTGACAAATAAATATGTATTTATATATAAAATCTCTATAAAATAATGCCGTTGCGTAGCGACTGTACACTTAAAAGCGGGGTCTCTCTGTACTCGAAGATATCGAAGGCTGAACTGTTGTACTGCTGAACTGGAGGGTCGCGAACAAATTAAGAGGACACAGTATATACCGAATTTTTCGGCACTTACATTACCGAGTTAGGAGACTCCTCTTTTTAATACATTTTACTTGAATACATATACGAATGTTTTATATTAGCCAAACTCAGTGTTGCTTGACTCCTGGGAACAACTGTCGACGAAGGCATTATATATATATAATTTTGTTCGACAGTTTGCCTAGTAAGAGTGGTGACTCCTAATTTTTCCTAAGTTTCTTTTTTTTCTCTCTTAAAAAAATTCCTAAATGACTTCGTCGTACTGTTCATTGAATCAATAGTCTGTGTCTGAAGTCGATATTTTCTGTATTTGCGATTGTAACAAGGTATTATCAAAATGGCAATTTCTACATAAACATGCTTTTCAGTAACGGATAAAAACAAAATAGGCTTTGATCCTAAGCGTTGGCGAACGATTGCTATGGTTAAACTCTTCTAATACGGTTTTCGCTGTGCCGCATCCAACAATCGTACTATTCAGATGATTACTTATCTTCATTTTGTTATTGATAGACATCAACATATCGGAGGAAGACTTCATCCCCCATTTGAAATGTTTATCATGCTTGCCACCATCTATACGTACGTTAAATATAAATTAGCAGATGTAGAGCACGAAAAAGGACTGTGACTTGACGGCATTGGTGAGGTAAACGTTCACCCTCACGTTGATACTGACGCTGATACCATTGACCACTAGCAATTTGTTCTTCATTGATTATACGGGGCGACACAAATGCGGGATTCATATTTACCGTTCGTTCGACTTTAAGCCGTACGCGTGTCGCCAGCGCACAGCATAACGACGTGATACTCTGCTTTTTCGGACTCGAAGTGAACGTATTTCGGGGACGTACTAAGTAAAAGCGAATAGGAATGATATTGCCACTGTATGATTTCCGTTGTGCTAGTAATAATGATTGTAATAATAGCACAATAAGGCAGATCATGTTCGATTGTTGGGAGTAGTTTATCTGACCCCTCTATTTGACAGCCAATCATGGCGATCGTAGGTTTGGCAAATTATTCCGCTAATCGACAGTCTAAGCTATGCAACGTGTGTTAGTAACAGAACATCGAACGATTCTGAACTTTTTTCTTTGTATTTTTACGAGCTGAACGACAAAGTATGAAGCAGAATAATGATTGATTATATTGTTTTGGCTTTTAAAAGAAAAATGTTTTAGAAAATGTCTGATTGGATTTTACGGTCATTTAGTAGTATATATACAAGTTGATTGTGATCCGTAATAGTGTATCTTCTATTTACGTTAATCTATCAGTAAATCTGGGTGAAGCATTCAAAGGCGTGCTCGGATAGTAGCGTCTTATCTCGTGTGTGTCTAACGAAATGGGGCTGTACATAGGTAACGTGTATGTGTTGAGAGGACAAGCGGACTATTACCAAGGAGGCTCATCAGGATATATAGAGTCGCCTCATTTCCCCGTGGTCTATCCATCCGATTATAGTGTTGAGTATCAACTAGTCAACGTCGACCCCAGAGGATACGTACAGCTGGTATTTACCGATTTCCAGCTATCTCCCTGGTCATACATTGAGGTGAGCTGATAAGCCAGTCTGTATCAGCAAAAAGTTGATTTTTAAATTGCATTATATAAAAAGTATATGAACAGACCCCATAAATCGCTCCTGTTGACTTTTACCGAACGATTAAATCGATTCAATCGAACATTTTCTTCTATTCAAATGCAGTATTGCAAGCAAATTATACCTTTGCCTAAGACACTCTTTACACGCTATAAATACTCAAGTGTTTATATATTATGTTTATATATGTTTGTAAAATATTCAGGTTCTCAACACGAATGGAAGTCGGATCGATGTCTACAATGGAAACACTTTCCGGCCTCCGATCATAGTGTCCGCAGGGCAAAACCTGACAGTCAAATTTCGCGCAAACGATGAATACGCCAATGCAGGTTTTCGCGCCAAATACACATTCGTGAATTATCCGGACAAGTATTGGTTTAACAAACCCAATACAGACTGTGGAGGTAAAGAATTTTCCATGCCGCTAACAGCGAAATGTGTAATGCAGGTGCTACATGGGTATGTTATACTAATAATCTCTTTATCACCTTGCTGTAAAGAAACAGTTACTATGATTTTTAATCCCTGCCAACCAAACCAGTGTCCTAATAATGGCTTGTGTTGACTAACGACGAATCGTTCTATAATAACAGGTATTGTAGATGATACGGGGGGCGCTATCACCATGATGAACATGGTAGCACAAACTGGAACATCAAGAGCGTACGATTGCGTCTGGCTTGTGAAGAGCTCAGCCAGAGAGACACCTGAAAGTCAAATATCAATAAGGGTTGCGCAATTCGAAGAAATGGGTATGTAAGCCTTTTGTTATTTCCAATTAGATCTCCGTATCTAAGCTGGGCTATAAAAATTTTTTGGTATCCGCTTTGAAAATACACGACAAAACTGAATGTAACAAAACGATCTGGCTTCATTCCTAGGTCCCCAGTCGACTCTCGAGATTAAGCAAGGGCTTGTATCTGTGGCCTACCCGCTGGTGACTCTCAACAGCCATCAGACAACGAAAAATCAACAACATGCACAAGAATACACGATTCCAGCCTCGTCAGGTTTCTACATTCGATTAAAAGGATCTTTTACAAATCGCTCACGTCTTGCCGTTGTATATTCGGTGTTCACCTTCGACTCCGCTTGCAACGAAACCAGTCAGTTTATGTGTGCAAACCGTCGGTGTCTTCATCCGGCCATTCACTGTGACGGGTTCAATCATTGCGGTGACGGTAGCGACGAAGTGGGATGCGACGGGAAAGTTGTATTCGAGAAGCGACTGAGTGATGAGAAGAAACAGGCTAAGGAGGTTATGCAGTGGTGGTCGAACCTGACGCCAAACTACCACTTCCCTAAACAGGACTCTACCGAAGCTGGTAATGGCACAAATACTCTCATTTTGTTAACCTCTCTTGCCGGTCTCGGCATGTTCATCTTGACTACGATACTGATCCTCATTAAACTTCGGAAACAGCGACAGATTGAAGCGCTCAACCGGGAAGCGCTACGAAGCATATCGGAGGTTGGAGACGGCCGGCGAATTTATCCTGGGGATATTCCGCTATTTGACCCACCGCCGACATACGATGACGTCTGCAAATTCTATATGCCGCCGCCACCAGCGTATTCTACAATTGACGAAAGTTCGCCGACGCTGGCTCGTCTAAATACCGGCCTTCCGGGCGTCGAAAACGCAGGCTTCACAATGATCTCTGAAAGTCCACCGCCTACATATCGTGAGGCTACCCACAAAAATAACCGCATCCTCCGAGTAATTTTGCCCTCCAGCTCAGCAGAACGCCGCCACCACCGGCGGCACAAGAGCTCCCCAGCGAAGGCGCACTCCGCTCATAGACGTACTGCATTGCGTGCACGACGGAGTCTCGCAGCTCTGCTTAATGACGAACGACGCAGGCGAAAACCATGCCAGTGCCAGGGCGCCTGTTCGTGCCCTAGCAGTTCATCGTCAACGGGCCACGTGTCACCATCTTCGCCACCACGTTATCAGGACACCCGACCGCGACCCCGTCCACCCGTAGTTCCTATGCACGTGCCCCAGGATTCACTAAGTTCTATCAGCTCTTTTGGTTCTACGCTTCCTGAACCGCCCAAACTCGTTGTCAAGGAGATCGCCTCCACCGGAGCGTCTTGCTCATCTGCATCGGCGTCTTCCTCCGCACTGTCTCCGCACATTATCACCAACAACGAGACGACCGGTCATATTGAAGCGCCGCCACCTGAAGAAGGATCAGGCCACATGTTTCGAATGCCACGAACCTCACATCGCCCGCCCAGGCCAAGACAGCAGGTGCAATCCACCTCAGTTACTCCTCCAATAGCCCCACCGCCATCGACTAATCAAAGAGGAACAATTACCTCTGCCGCTTCATCCGCAGTGAGCTCATCATCAGCGCGTCCCTCAAGCGCATTGAGGACCGCGGCAGGTAACCGCGACCGGGCATCGCAACAACAACAGCAGCAGCAGCAGCAGCATCTTCAGGACAAGCGCAAAAGTCCGAAACGCGCACCAATAATGCCTTTAAACAGCCGTCTACTGGCGTTCGAGCTTGACAGAATTGGGCCAGTGGACGCGGTGACGGCAGGTGCGTCGTCGGCTGTCACGGGGTCGTCACGCATTCGTACTGGAGCTTTACTGGCCGCAGGAGGAGGAGGGGGGGGAGAAGGAGCAGCAACAACAGGTGTTTCGAACGGTACAAGCGGTTCAAACACTACTACTGGTGCTGCCAGCAGGCCGGCGGAAGCTGGTGCCAAAGAGAGGCGTGAACGGGACGGATTCGCAGGAAAAGTCAGCGTCATCCATGGCAGTGTAGCACCAAAGCAGCAACAACAGCTCAAGTAATTTATTATGATTTTTTTCTATTCAAAGATGGGGAAGAAAGCTTCGAAGCAGACGAAGGCTGAGAAAAAGCGAGTCTTCATTGTTAATAGGAATATGATACAGGTAGAGCAAGCGCGTACCGGTCACGTATATTTACACCTTTCGGCGTGAACGGCAATGAGTAGACTTTACTACAGCTGAACGAAAATGATTAGCGTTGTTGACTAATTGAAATGAACAGTAACGGCGCGATATATAGGTGAAATAAAAGAAAAAAAAAAAAGGGTCAATGAAGGTAGTCGCATCCAGGAGAACACCGTGTGCGATACTTCTCAAATTGTGGTTGTGGAAAACAATACGAGATATAAGACGGACAAACACAACCCCGGTGGGGGAGTCATGTGAAGATGAGATTATCACTATAGGTGTGCGTTAATCGTTTTGATTAACGGAAAGAAGCAAATGTGACGCGAACGACATATTTGCGTTGTATCATTTGTAATTGTTCTAGGGTACGCTCCTAATCGAAGAAAGTGTTATAGCTAAACAAAAAAAGGTGACCCTGTAGAAACATTTTTTAGGCTTCAGAAAATAGCGAATAATTTTCGTTATGTGCTTGCATATTACTTAAATAGAGATCGAACTCAAGCCATATGGGCTGATTACGGCAAAGCATTTACCTGAGAACGGAGAAAACCAAATCTCAAATTGTCAAGGTACAGTTCCTCGAACCGATTATAGATTTACCCAGTAACATTTTACAAGATCTGAGCCGAACTCGGCTTGAAATCAATCCGCTTTGTACTGTACATAGCAAATATGTGCATATACCTGTTATTCTATGAATGTACGAGGATATAGGTAAATGTCTGGAGATTGGCTGTCTATTAGGACTACACAAACTATCGAATGAAAGCGAAATCTAAAAAAATCATTACATAAATACTGGATTCTTTATATATATATATAAAGTAAATTGAGTATATATTATTTTACAGGTAAAACTTGATCGTAGAATGTATCTCAAGAGTTTTTCTGTTCAATTCCTCCTTGCAGTCATAAAAAAGAGCATCTGTGCATAAATAAATGGATAGTCAGAAGCGTGGATACGAACGGACCGTGCGTGAAAAATGCAAGCGGCAGCACCATGCCATACACATATGTGCAGATGATTGATGTGAACTCTATTTTTAACTGATTGTGTGTACACATATGGGTGGGTTTCATGTGCAAATGAGATGAATGATTGCAAGTGCTCGCTGTCTTAAGCCAAATAATTAATTGTATAGACGTTTTTGTACATAAGAGAAAAATAATTTTTCTGTAAATAAATGGCCTTTGAAGAGGACAACATACGCAGCCGTTTTTCTTTATATTTTGTTTTGCAGCGTAACTGTGTTGTCTGAAACTGTACTTACATGTATGTACACGCAAATATGGATCGCTGATAAAATCCGGTAAGGCAAACAGTCGGTCCGGCAATTCCGGAACACTCGAAGACAAACGTTTTTCGTGCTCCATATACATCTATACATAAATGCATTTTTTTTTTTTCGATTATTTCTAAATTTTATTTTGTCATACCTGTTTAATACTCTCCCGAGAAGGAATCTGATCATTTAAAAGAAAAATTTATATTGATCATAAAATTACGATCAGATTACGTATTTAGGCTAAGATCTGCACGGGTCATTGAATGTTGGGGTTGGGGTCACCTTATTGTAACGACTCTAATGCCAACGGTGGGACATTGGAAACCTTAATTTTGTTATGGAAGTAAAAAGTTTTTGACACAGACGAGAAAACAAATGCGATAAGCTCACAGGATAACTATATAAATACGATAATGTAACATCTGAATCATGGTAACTGAAGAAGGAAACGTATTGATTTAGAAAACGTCGTCTAATTATTAAAGTAGGGTAATTAGATTATCGTTATTATTATTATTATTATTATTATGTGTTATCTAATTACGAAATGTAAGTAACGAAATCTAGAAAGACTACAACGTATCAGCTTGAATAACTGCAACTGGTACGAGAACAGCTACGACAAATTAGGAATTATCCAAAGTATATGCTAAATTCTCCAGGTTAGATCAATAGAAACCGCAGGTTTCCATTGTGTATTATGTAGCATGCGAAAAATGAACGCTTTTTGCAACCAAATTGGACGAATGTTGTACAAACGTCGCTGCCCTCCTGGGACAATGAAGACAACTAATAGAACATTACATTTTAATTGTTTCGTTTAGTGTTCTAAAGCAATAATCTATAAATAATACTAATCGTTTTAATATGTTTTCTGGTAAAAAAAAAAAACATGATTATCTGTGCTGCTTCAAAGATCCAGTTTTGGTATTAGAAGTGCGGAACAGTAAAATTCATATTGGGGCCTACACATCATTTTCAAACAATTTCCCTAAGATCCCATATATGCAAAACTATATCTTAGTCGATGCAATATACTTTGTTACATTCGTCCTTTAGGGAGCCTCAGCTCCTCCGCAGCAATAAAATCAGTCCTGTCAATTAGTCCTATAGCATCTAGAGATGCCTGCAGGCAAAGTTATGACTCGAATAAGCTGATCTATCATCACTTACTTCAATCAAACCGCTACACACCTGCGTTAACGATGTAGCCGTTGACATAACTGTATGGCGTTCAAATCAGACAGAGACGAACGGCTGAAAACCACTAAAGGAAAACAGAGCAAATAGAAAAAAATAGTCATTTTGATCGGCAGCAAGTCGATCAATGGCTTTCGAAACCTGCTCTGACACACTTTCCCTATCCTCTGCCGAAACAAACTTTCACCGTTGGTCCTCTTTCCCTGGAGTACTTTACCGCATGGCTTTAGTGATTTCGCTCATGATTTAAGCAATCAAAGCCAATGCTACATACAAAGCACGTCATGATGCATGATGCAAAAATCAACCACATTACACTCTAAACAAGTGGGCCATAAATTACTGATCAGGTAACGAATATTATAGAACTTCAACACAAGGCTTGTGTACAATGGAGTACCTAATAAGATGCAATCGATCTCCTCAATATTAGATTAGGTGATTTATCGATTCCAAAAATCATTTTGGGACACCGTACGGTGCTCAATAAAACCTCAAAAAAAAAGTTACCGCACCGTTGGCAAAGGTAGACATTTTGCTCCCTTGCTTGCTTCCAACGAGACAGGCTTTTCAGTTCGGTGAGAAAATTCTTCCAAGACAGATCTTCACAGCCAGTCAAATTACAAGAAGCAGCAACGTGCTATCGTCGATGTTCAAAGCAATTTTGCCCTCGTGATAAATTCAATATTTTCCTAAGGAGAAACTATAACGTGTTAGTTGCTGAAAACTGCCGGTGCATAGTAAGTATGTCTGTCATGATGTCATCTACTTTCACACGATTCGTCTACTTTAACATCACTTATTCCTCAATATTAAGCTTTTTCTGCACCTTCGCTTCGTCTGCTGTTTTATGGTAGACTGCAGATGTTCTAATAATAATAACGCAGTTCACTTCACTCACGAATTATTTTTATTCGACTGATTCGTTTTGTAAGTAGAGCATGACTCTCTTATAGATATACTCGCTCTACGCAATGGCCCCCCTGAACAAAGAGAAGCAATGGCTATGTTGAGTTTTCTTTCAACTTGCAAATCGCTATCGCGGTCAGGGAAACAGTGCTTGACAGGCGTCTTATTCATGCTTTTAAAACTCGATAGTGGTAATCTCTGAGGGCAAAGTTTACTAGGAAAAAAACTGAACGGCCCTTTAAACCGAACGGTGAGACCGTTAATCGCAAATCTAGTGATTTTATGTCCATTTGATTTGTCAGGGCATCTGTAAATGCTATCCAGAGATAGAAGGTTCGTACTGTGTGTAGCAGGATAACCTGAACCCGTACGATAGATCCGACTTACATGAGCTCATAAACAGTCATCTATAAATGGGACGACGGTGTTCAAGGTACTAGCTCTGCATAAATAACGATTAAGAGGGGGCATTTTTTTGTAGATCAAAAGGGGGTGCGATTAACGGATAGTCCTGCGATCAGTTGTTTACGGCCGCATACGAAGTAATACAGCTAAATTAAGTGACATATTCAAACGCCCCATGAACAAAACAGAATTTATTGGGTTACTTGCATAGGAGTGTCACGCATCTGCTTCCGTTTACGACACATCATAACTTCACAATTGCAGGGTAACTTCGTAAGTGTACATTTCGCGTACTATAGTAGTCGTGCACTATAAAGTTCATTCCACCATGCCTTTTCAATACATCAAATCATATGGTCTCTCAATGTATTAAGTAAGTATAGGCACGTCTAACGCTATATGGGTAACGACTATATGTCACCAGTATATAATCGTCGTGCACTATAAAGAGATAATGCGCTGTCTGTTCGCAATCCCTGGTACACTGTAATGTTTGTGTCATCCCAACTTCTCGATCGGGTATCCATGAAATTAATCCAATCCAAAAACGACCGTGAAAACAGTATGTCATAAACAACACTCTTATTCTGGGCGCTATTGGCAATAAGGATAGAAAGTGCCGCTGTTCAATGCTAAACGTGTGACATAAGAACTGCGGTGCAGACAAAATGCCTGACTGTAGCAATTTTTGACTTTATTCCGTTATCATTTTGAAACGCCCAGTTCATACGGGATCACGCGAGCCGGGTATGTTCCAACATACATACTAAATCGCTGACGTACGGCTCAAAAACCCTCAATTAACTCTCACGAATCTTCCAGGCATGCGAACGATTCCCGTTTGTGATTTCGAAGCCGTGAGATTATCCGCAACATTGTAGACCTATTGTAACCGCGACGCCCGCTTTACTAGCTCTACCGGAACCGTTCCTCGGCTGTTAAAATCGTATCCATCGATGCACGCCCACAAGCATCTCAACATCTTCTGAGACCGTCGAGTGAAAAAAACAGAAGTTTCACTGGGGATGCTCATTACACAAAAGGAACCACCATAAAGTTGCTTTGCCCATTATTTTACCCATGCCCAAATTAATTAAAGATCTTCATCCTACATCTTTTAAATTCGTAAAATAAAATTAAAAAAAAAAAAAGAAATTAAGCGAACACTTTCAAACGGTTCAATGACCTTTTTCATCCTGTATAGTACGCGTGCGTCGGGCGTTTCTCTAGTGAAGGTTGGTCGATGGTTGTGCGAACATTTTCGAAGAAACGTATCGAATAGACTAGCGCGCCATATTCAAGCTACGAAGAGTGATAATTACTTTTGTTTGGCTTGTCGAAATTGCTGCCCGTTTCAACAACGTAGTCAACTTCGGTAGCAGTTGATTGCCTATTCCTGTCTAACAGTGACGGCAAACGATGACGAATATTTTGGAAAAAATTTGTAATCAATCAACGATTTGGCACAAGACCGACTTTTGCCGTCATTATTAGTACAGGCTTTATCGGATGACGATTTTAGGACATTTATCGTAACACGCCGATCTGCGATCAAAGTAAAAAAACGAGAAAAAAATATCATCGCAGACTAAACCCCAAAATTGTAGCAACACGCTATAGTCGTACGAACGAACTCTCAAAATATTCACCCGTCTCATAAACAGCAGCAATGTTTGACATATTTGCATAGCATTTTAACGTTGACTCGATACACGGAAAACAGAGTTATGGCGCTCTGATTATTCGAAACGGCTGTATATATATATATATATATATATATATATATATATATATATATTGGATCGGAAAGTTGTGTCTATGTGTATCGTTTTATAAACACATGCAAGTATAATTTAATGGATACTGAGTGGCCGAACAAACGTTCTAATTATTTAATTATTACCATGTATACATGTTGCTTTCGACTGTTTAAAAGAACATTAACTGGGAAATGTTTTGGATTTTACCACTTCATTCCTAATCAGTCTCGGACCAGCCGGATCAGATCGGACGTTAATGTACTTCAGACAGCTACTCTCGTATCAATGAATGTACAGGATTAGTAACTCTGTAGCTGGACGCTGTTGTTAAAGTGCGTCGTCCAGAGAATTCTACGAAGTGTACCTAAGGACGTTCGAATGAGCGTACGTGAGTAGGCCTTCTCTGGATAGACTTATTGCAAAGAATGCATAGGCCCATTATAGTAAATTTTTCTTGTAATTCGGTTATCAGGGAGTGTCAGAACCGACGTTCAGGGCGTAAAGTTGTGCACTTTTTCAAGTTACAGCATCATGCGGCTATCGACTATAAAGTGAGCTTCTCTCGTGGGGCTAAGCAAGGGTACGTATCACAAGATTATATTCATATAACAGTAGTTACGATCGTGAGAATGATACCAGCGGTACATTTTCCATTACTAAATTACGTCATGTGTACCGCAAAATGTATAGATTTGCATCCTAAATAACTTGTTTTGCAGGTCGCAGTTTGAGAAAATTCTGACTAGCTTCAAGTTATTGTAACGTCTTGCGTAGGGTTTTTGGTCGGCTTCTATAAGTTTGCAGTACAGTTTTGGCAATAATGTATAACAGATCACATTGTCTGTGTGTCTTCGTTTTCGATCCTGCGAGTTACGCATTGCTCAATATTGGCAGATTTGGGCCTATTTAGCTTGCACTAGTGCGCGGGTGATGTTTTGGTTCGCTGTGTCAGTCATCTACGATTTTCAAACGCTGTCCAAGAAGACGAATTGGTGATAAACGCTTAGAAGTATATATACTTATAACGTGAATCTCATAGGCCGCTGGCCAGCGGCCTCTTACCTGGGATACGAATATTTCCATCTCAGTTACAAAATAGCAAAAGCGGTTCGATTCGGCCTTAGGTGGTATATTCGTTACTAGCCCTAGGGCTTCGGACGTTTGAACTCAATATCGAAAGGGCTCACTCTGGCCTGGAGTCGTTCGATCTTTATCCGACTCGAACCGTTTACGACTCAAACATAAGGGCATTGGCATTGAGCTGTTGCGTCGTCATCCTTTCAGGTCATAAACTAGTTTTGAGCTGTGTTTTTATACTCATTTATATCGACAATCCATCGTTTTATAGCTGTTCTAACAACTATTTATGTTTTAGAACAACGCGAGTTAGCACGACCAGTTATTATAAAGTGCCATTGATCGAGTCTAGTAAGTGTGCTACCGTGCACTAACAATAAATCTCATATAAACTGGCCTTCTAAATCGAAACCTCTTTCATTAAACGGAACACTGATATATCCTTAGCTCCTACTGCTAGGGGGTCAAACCTTAAGGGCGTCCCTAATATATGTTACCTGCATCCTATCTTATGCGATCACTATATATATATATATATATATATATATATATACATGCTATTCAATAAAAACAAATCAAAGTCCAAACTAATCTACGTGGCGTGCCGAAGCGAAGGTTAGCGATCGGTTTCTAACCCTACGCCCTATTGTGCCATCAACAATAGATTTTAACGTAATTCAGCTATGACCTCTAGCCGTTGATGCTACATCAATGCTGGCTGGTAAATCACAACTCTTGCAATTATGTTGTCGCTTATTATAAGCTGTGTGCGTATTTGTTTCTTTTCAGCTGCTTGTGAGTCCCAATAGCTGCCGGCTTTGGTCAACGGATTTACTAGTAACGAACTCACCTGTCGTGGTTTGGCGATGGCGTCATTTTTGGGTAGTGACAGTTCATCTAGCTTAGCACGGTATAAGTAGCAGGGAGCCTAAAATTATCTTTTATTTTATACAAATTCATTCTGTGATTAGGCTTACGTCAAATAACTGCATCAGTCTCCTACTTCGTACTGCTAGCACTATTCGTATAAACAATATGCATATACGCTTACAGAAAACCCAATAAGCACTCAAGGAAAAACGAGTACTTATATTTTTCTGTTTTAGAACACCCTGAGTAATTGGATTTACCTGAAACTTCGCTGCGGTTTTTCAGAGGGTTGCCGCTGGCGCATTGATTCTACTATATAGTTGCTAACTTTTACCTCCGACGACGGGTCATATGAACAGATAGGCCCACACACATATTGAGCTTTAGCAGCATATAAGACTGGGTATTCTTAGCTGCCGGCTTCGGCCAATCTCACCTATCCCGTCCAACGTTCACAGAATTTTGACACTTTCTTAAAACTATTATTTCATCTGCATATAATAAATGGTTTTGCAGTAGAAACCTAACCGGATTAAATCGTTATACGTCAAAACAAATCTAGGCATATTATAGTTCTGGGCTAAAATTCTATCGGCTTACAAAGGGCTGATCACAACGTGTGTAAATAAAGGAAGTTCTCTCATTAAATTAACGACTCGGCGTAGACAATTTTGGGATAGCAAAAACACTTACAGAAGGTAGTTCAGTCACAATAACAACAGCGCATTAGAATAGAACATGTCTACCCGTGTCTAGTCAAACAGATGAAACCTGCTGGTACTTCGCAAGCGGCCAGAGGCTGCACTACATGGCCTATAGTTTAGGGTAATCATAATATTATAAGATGAAAACATCTCGCTACGGAAGCCAGTGTTATCATTCAAATCAATAGATGATAGCAGCAAAGTTTACTCTACGGAACGCCCATCAGAGCAATACATTGTGTATTGACCAGAGGGGCAGAACTTTTCAACACCTATGGTTAGAGGCGAAATTATGCATTCAGTGTGGACTTTCGTGCAATTTAGATATTAATTGTAAATATAATCATTCATATTGAGTTTCCTTCGCTAAAGACGAGACGTTCTTCAGTAATTATATCTCGTGCTGAAAGGAGAGAGATATCCCGAGCGCTGACTTCTAGAATTTTCCAACGCAAGCTACTTGTAAGCGTCGTGATGAATTAACCGGTTATCTATTGCAATTAATACAAATATATAGTTGTGCTTTGCGAGACGCCCCCTACCGGCACGCCTGTACGTGCTTTCATTGAGAATGACATATTGTACAGGACAGGGGTGCTACAATACGTTTCTCTAGCACGGCCTTTGTGCTAAAAAATAGTCCAAAGTGGCTTAATTATGCATTGCTATGTAAGGACCCGCCACTTATAACACAGTTTGTCATTTTCCTGTAACACATTATGCATCTCAAATAGTCATCAGGAACACTGTTTACCAAATCCCTAGGCTAGTATATAAGCAAGAGACTAGATGCGAGCCCGTTAACCCGGACGCACGTCAGTGCATCCTGGCCAGTCTTATAATTCTCTAACAAATAAAAATTTTAGCACCAGCTGTAACATTCAATGTGTATCAGCCGCTTAGAAGTTAATTCGTAAGACGATATAAAATGATATGCTGGTAAAAAAAATGTCTCAAAAAATCTTGTAATTACAGCCTTCTTTATATATGTTAAATGTAGCCCTACAAACGTATCTACAATGGAAATATTGCAATACAAATAAAAAGCAATACGTATTAAAAAGATAAAAAAAATCAATTAATCATTAAAATATCTCGGCCCTTCTATGGAAAACTAATAACAAGATGTCGTTTATTTAATCACGTTACTCACACGCAAATTATATGACTAACTGTAAGCATTAGCTGAGTATGATAAAAATTTTACACATTTAATTGGCCTTAGGGGCCTAAATATTGGGGCCTTTGTCTCTAAGTCGCAAATCTTATACAAGTGAAAACATGGGAAAACCCATAGTGGCATAAAAACATCATCGGTGCTTCAAAAAAATAGGACAATAAAATCAAACAACGAAAAATTTACATAAGTCTGTTAAGTTTAAACGAAGGCGCCAGAGAGAAAGGGGCACGCCTCTAGGCTAATGCTGATCGCCGTCAGGAACCGCTTTCTTAAATCAGTCTCAACGAATGCACTCATTCGCTGACGTCACTAACGCTATATATACGAGTGAACGGAGTGCATCAACTGCTTACATCGCAGTGCAGCTCCAGATAGATTGTGTGGGCGTTGGCAGAACATTCCCGAGAAGTCTCTGCTCTACGATAAACGTAAGCTAGATTTGATTGTTCACCTGGCCGACCTTGTTGGCAGGCCCTAGGCATCTCGTCGAAAATCATGTCGTTCCCACAAGACTTCAAACGTTATCCTAACTCGGCACGACTAGATACCAATCTTAGCTACGAGAGTGCTATTTAGGATTGCGGAAAATACTCGATATTTCATCCCGTTACTCGAATACGGTCGCCATTTGGTTTTTTTTTGGCTACTTTTCTAGAATACTGAACGAATCAATCCAAGCTGAATCTAACTGGTACTCAGCTTCAGGTTTCTGTACTGTAGCTTTGTGGTAGCGTAAATGTCAAGTTACTGGGGTTCGCAATTGTATAGTAATAGATAATTAGCAAATACTGTGAAATTATTTGCATGATTTTCTGCAGTGTTCAGGCCAGAGGATACAAGGGTATACAGCCTGGGCTTCGACCATTACTGTTCGGCACCCTGCAATGTGAGGATATAGATTATCATACTAATCTACACAGTATCGCTTGCAATTAGGACCTGTGTAAAATGTGTCGATAAGGTCCGCTGATCAGAAATGCTTAGATTGATGAAGGGGGTAAAAACGCAGAATGTTATGTATAATTTACTCATACCATTAATGTAGTTGAGTGCGACTAATATGTAGACTATTGCTCGTTTGTGCCTTGACGGCCTGTGTCAACGAACTTAGTATTTGTCATCGGTTGCGTTGACAACTGCCGTTGCTATGTATAGGCATATTCCGGCTAGCAATGACGCTTTTATTTAATTGTATCGTACGTATTAGCATGTCTATTAAATTGCTAATCGTAGCCTCATCTATGTTTACAGGTAATGCAGATTTTCGTGAAAACCCTAACCGGTAAGACTATCACCCTTGAGGTGGAATCTTCAGATACAATCGAAAATGTCAAGGCAAAGATTCAAGACAAGGAGGGTATTCCCCCAGACCAACAGAGATTAATCTTTGCTGGAAAACAGTTGGAAGACGGACGTACTCTTTCGGACTACAATATCCAAAAAGAGTCCACGCTCCATCTTGTACTTAGACTTCGCGGAGGTATGCAGATCTTCGTGAAAACCCTTACCGGAAAGACTATTACCCTGGAAGTTGAGCCCTCTGACACAATTGAGAATGTTAAAGCGAAAATCCAAGACAAAGAAGGTATCCCTCCAGATCAACAGAGGTTGATCTTTGCCGGTAAACAACTTGAAGACGGTCGTACCCTTTCAGACTACAATATCCAAAAAGAGTCCACCCTCCATCTTGTTCTTCGACTTCGTGGAGGTATGCAGATCTTCGTAAAAACGCTGACCGGAAAGACGATCACTCTAGAGGTTGAACCTAGCGATACAATCGAAAACGTTAAGGCAAAGATTCAAGACAAGGAAGGTATTCCGCCCGATCAGCAAAGGTTGATCTTTGCTGGCAAGCAGCTTGAAGACGGCCGAACGCTATCAGACTATAACATTCAGAAAGAGTCTACTCTACACCTCGTACTACGTCTTCGAGGAGGAATGCAGATTTTCGTGAAGACGCTCACAGGCAAAACTATCACACTCGAGGTAGAATCCAGTGATACCATTGAAAACGTCAAGGCCAAAATTCAGGACAAAGAAGGAATCCCTCCTGATCAACAGAGGCTAATTTTTGCTGGTAAACAGCTCGAAGATGGTCGTACTCTATCTGACTATAACATTCAGAAAGAGTCTACTCTTCATCTGGTGCTCAGACTCCGCGGAGGAAAATAAAGGCTATCTAAAAAAAGCGAAACGCGAAAGGTAAGTTACGTAACGTAACGCCACGTTACGTTTTATACGGGTAGGAAATACGTCACTGTCCTTAACAGGGCGTCTCTACGACCGAAGCTGCGGCACTGCATTTTAGTTTCAGACTCAATCAAGCTGTTTTAAGGGTGATTGTTGACGGGCCATGGCGTTGTTGATAATAAAATTGTAGTGATTTCTAACAGTCGCCCACCCGGGTCACTTGTATTAAAATAATAATTTTCTTTTTTGCAGGTGTCTGGTTGGCCTACAGAGTCGAAGGTGCAGGGTTGGCCAAGGTAAAAAACCTAAAGAAACTAGGAACCATAGTGACCTTTTAAGTGTGACAAGAAAAAATTTAAGACAAAACATACGACCATCGAATAGAGTTTGAAATTAAGGCACATTACTTTTTCTGTTGAATTGACTACGACCAAATTATATAGTCGACCTGTATAAATATCTAAAACATACCCCATTCATATTGTGTAGAACAAAATAAATGTTAGACTGTACAAAAACCTAAAATGTTGCTTTATTATTATTATATTTTTTATTATAATACTAGCCAAATATTATAATAGCTAATATATTAGCTGAGTTGACGTTTTCAGAATTAGTTGTCGGGGTTAAGAAAATACCGTTATCCGTTAATAATCCAAACCTTGTCGATAGAACAAGATTTCCCCATTCGACCCCTTTTAATTGAAGCTCACCGTGACATCGTATCAGCTGTGGAAAAATACGTATATGGATATGAGACAGCTGGTCTCGCATCCAGAAATATATATATATATAAGGTCGGCTCGTAGCTGTATATATCGGAAAAAGTTTGCTTCGAAGTGAAATACGCAATGGAACCGAATATTTGTTTGGTCGACCAGTTCCCATATGCACAACATTTATCATCATTGCGTGAATGACCACAAATGCCGCAGTACTCCTTGCTGTGCTGATTTTTGAAATTGAAAATTTCAAATTGAAAATTTGTTAAAATGTTTTACGCGTGCGACCTTACTCTGCAAATATCCGTTTCAGTCTTCAGGATACGTGATATGTATGACCAGGTCTATTTCGAGATGAATCAATAACACATAACGATAGATGAAAATCACGTGGATCCATCGTTCTTTAATTTTGTCGTTTGTGATGATTCATATGAATGTTAGTTATATGTATGTTAGTCATTCATCAACATGCTTGGGAAAAACGGTCAACCATCAACCAACTGAAAATTAGTTTCATTGAATTTCACATTCATTTTTATAAATTGAGTACAATGAGCTCTGTGTATGACCTCTGCCGAATTCAACGAATTTCTGCATTGAAGTGGAAAAATCATTGACGATGAGGGACGAAATCTAATTTCGTTCAAGTATATTTAAAATTAAGAGGATGCGTTGAGTAAGTGCTTTTGTAGCTAATTAAGCTTCCTTCCACTCAAACTAAATTCAACTCACGTTTTCATTGAGCTAAGCCCAAATGATGACAAACATACGCCGAGAACGATTATTTGTCCCTAAATGTCAATTTGCTGCTATACTTTAGCCAAAAAATATTACGTTCTTCGCGAGAGCAGTGAAACTCTTTTTTTCCTGACCAAATAAATGCATAAACTTTTCCCGCCGCAACTGTACGTACAATTTAGCATATGTGATAGATAAAAACCTACATTGGCATCATTCCGGTATCAGTAGGATATAAACGCTCAAGCTATACTGATAGAAAGTATGTGAATTCTTAATGCATAATTTTTTTGACTGGGGGGTTTCTGTAGTACTAGGTTTGTTTACTTACATGCTCCGTGTGTGGCAAAGATGTAAGTGTGAATAGGGCTGAAAGATGCGTTAGCTCATGAACTTACGAACTGAGTGGTAAGTTCAGATTACTAAAGAAACACATCATGAAATAAAAGGATCCCCTAGTACACATCTCACTGTTATGCTAAGTGCTATGTGTGACAAACAAAGTGGCATTGTTCCGCAGTCATTGCACACGTCTTAGCTATCCAAAGTCCAGCTACCTTTGTGTACTTTGTTGTCCATCTGTGAACTAAATGTATATGTGCATGATTTTTTTTCTGTATCTTGAAAACAGTTGGGCAAGCTCAGCACGCGTTAATCTTTTTTTACAAATGGGTCTTTTTACAGTGGATCTTTTTTCAAATATTGGTTGAAACTGCCGATTTTAAATTCAGGCGTGTGTCATGGAATGGCATTGCAACGTGAATACATGTTATCGGGCATCAACCTTCCCGTTAGATCTATTACGACAGGATACATCACAAAAGATTCACGAGCATCCTCATTTATAATAATCGATAGCTAAGTGAACGTGTTTTCAAAATTAAAAACAATTCTTTTTCTGAACGAAAAGTTTTCTGCTATAGTGCGTGACATGTCGCCCAGTTTTGTGTGCACGCCTATGACGAGTTTAACCCAGACACAAACAATTTGAGATTTACGCAAGCGCTATAGCTATAAACTTTTTGCATGCACTTTTATGCTGACGTAATCGTGCATCGAGTTTTACCGCAGTGGAACCCGCTCTGATTGCTTATTCCCTGTATCTTCCTTGCAACCTGTAATTTTCTCGATATTCTATGCGCTGTACATTTGTATTATATTCTATCGAAAATGTATTTAAGTGCCAGGTTTGTGATTTGATTTGATAGGAATATTTTTCTGTACTAGTTTTTGTCAATAAAGGAAAGGATCACATTACGCGGTAATTTTTTTGTCTAGTAACTGACACGTCTTATAAGAACTAATACAAAGTCAGTAAGGAAATTAACAGGTGCGAAAAAAAGTTTTGTTTAAATTAGGTAGCAGTTGTGCGTTGTTATTATTGCGCTATTTTTGTTTAAGCACAGCGCCAATTCAATTAAAATATTAGACTGTATATGTACAAAGGTTTACACCATTTATCGCGTACGTTTTGGCGCAGCCCAATGCTAGTTACGCCTTGCGTAAAATATAAGGGCTGCTATGAGTCGGACGCCAACCTTACTACTCGAAAAGAACTACAATAAGCTGAGCAAGGTCCATGAAAATACTTTATATCATAGCACTCACTGTTCGTATACGTTGCAGATCCTACCTGCAGCAAACGTCAGAAAAGCATTTATCAATCTTATTCAAGTAGTTAAGTTGTATCAGATAAATAAACTAGGTTTCTTTGGGTGTAGGTTAGGTTAGGTTAGGTTAGGTGCATTTATTATTAGTTTGGAGAAACGGGTTAAGCTATTACGGAGAAAAAAGGAAATGAAAATTGTTTCAATTTAAAATTACTACTGTTCCTGAGTGTCCCGTAGCTTCCCGAACACAATAAATCACTAATGTTACTGAGTTGACAATGGTGGCTATTAGAAAATCTCAGTAATGTCATGCCAAATTTTGAGTTAATGCTATCCGTACGCAATTCGCTTAGCTCCGATGTGACGTCTAGCTTAGTTTGTACAATACGCGAAATAATGATGCCCCATAACCGCAAGATCGGCGCTAACCAAATGAGGCAAATTACTAGGGATAATGGATCATCATCCGAACAATGACTGGCACCAGTGTCGATTAGCAGTTCCCTTTTGGTGAAAACCTTATTTTAGCTAGAGTTTGGGCGCCTGCTTAAATTTGCTTAAAGTGACCCAACTAGTTCTCGTAATGCTTCTTGTAGTAAATTACTAAACTGTTTTAATAATAAATGATTCTAAATTTTTTTGCTTTTTCGGCGCTGTTCAGGTGAGTAGAAATACAGCACATCGTCGCATGTCTCAAAATTCGAAATCACACACTGTTTCCACTTACCTCGAGAAATAGAATAGCAAAAATATTCGGTATTTCAATTGTATAGCAAGGGATAAACAGACAATAGATTGTCAAACAATGAGAATAATCTAGTAGATGTAAGTGCATTACAGTGTATTCTGTTCTGTGTTAGCTTTAGCGACTTACTAATGTGATTGATTTCGCTAAGACAGATAATCATTATTTCCCGTAATATTTCCTCATTTTAGACTAACGTATTGTTGTCGTAACACATTATCTTTTATAACGATCACCTGGCTCAATAATATGGAATGATTTTCTTTTTGCGAGAAGCCTGTGGACTGGAATGGCACCTGTGCGCCAAACATTCAAATTCAAAATTGGCGCGTGCTACGAAGCTTCTCGAATGTGCCTGTTCATTGGTTGTCGTCTGTGACTCATCTGTTGCCAGGCCCGCGCCAGCGACACAGATTCAAGCGGACCAATCGGCGGCCTCACAGTGCTGACGTCATCAGCGCTATATAAACGAAAGCAGAACCTAGAGGGCCATTCAGTCGGCCACTGTGTTCGGTAGTAGCTGTACCGTGGTTTGCTGTGCAAATCGTCAAGGAAGCGTAAGAATTGATTTCTGTAGAGTTTCTTGAAGCATTTATCCTATTTGAGGCCAAACTCGATGTATGTGAAAGGTTTAAGAGTGAGTTTCACGAACGTCTTTCGTTTTTAGCCTCTCGAATAAATACGGTCATTCGTTTTTGCTGTGTGTGGGTGTACGGGATGCCTAGCCTTTGCTCGCCGTGGCTTTATGGCTGCTAAAATCCAAGCACTATTCGACGAAACCGTTCCTAGATCTTTCTGGTTGTTACGTGTAGCTAGTGCATTCTGTAGACGAAATTTTCGAGGAACGATTACAACGAGTGGTGGCTGTAGTTTCACTCTATTGTATATTTAAGTTAGGCCTAGGCAGTGTGAGGTACGCTGGTGACGAAAGGGGCTTGGCTCATCTAGTAGTTAGCACCCCCATCTGGGATTCTTGGCTGGTTGTCGCTTGACTGAAAAAGGGGTGCACTCGAGGTTCGTCGAGGTATTTGGGGAAATTGCTCTGAATGGGAAAAGTTTTTGCTAGCATTCGTGTGTACTTCTATTGCCGCCTGGATCTTCTCCAAAACGTAATTCAAGAACTTCCTGATAAGCATTAGTTTCGATAATTATTGTAGGCTGCTCCATAAAGGCTTTGCAGGTGTAACCATGAAGCAACTTCAACGCGAAATCAAACGAGTGTTTATCGAGAATTTTCTAGTGCTGCAGGTTGCGTTTACGTTGACTAAAATGTAATCCTAGCTGCTTTGTGTAACGATGAGTTACAATTTTAAAGTTTGTCTCTGTATGGCGCATGTGCCCAGCTTGCTAGGAAAATTATTCATTTTATGATTATCCAATCGAAGCTTCTAGTGTCTTGGTTGCTGTTGTTCGGGTAAATCCTAAGCAGCTGCTTAGAACTTTCTATAAATAAAACTTGTTTGCTCTCAATTTTGCGTCGATGTGAATCGTGGAGAGATTCTGTGACCATAGTCAGCCCTTTATACGTACGTTCAGGCTTGCCACTACAACTACGCAGCAGCCAAAACGAACCAAAAGATGGTTTCGTTTTGACCTTCACATCGGCTTAGGTGGCCAGAATTGGCGATACTGACTGCTGGGTAATCTGTTGAATATTGCCACAGAGTGGCGACCTAGACTGGTCCTGTTTTGTAACTTAACGTTGACTGAATGCGATTGCTTTCGTTAGCATTATCCCTAGGAATTTTCACTTGCAACTTTGCAGTTAACTGTGTTTCGTCATTGTTGGCTTAGGCGCCGTCGCGTTCCGGTGGTGATAGCTGTCGGTGTTGAGTAACATCTAGCCGATGACTGGAGATCAGTCTCGTTTTCTATTATTTACTATATGCCTGTATGCAAATTATTGGCTACGAAGTATGTACCTGACTTTCTATGATATGTGTAATTTTACAGAAAAATGCAAATCTTTGTGAAAACATTAACTGGGAAAACTATCACTCTAGACGTAGAGGGATCGGACACGATCGAGAACGTCAAGACAAAGATCCAGGATAAAGAAGGTATTCCACCAGATCAGCAGCGTCTGATTTTCGCTGGCAAGCAGCTAGAGGACGGTCGCACACTCTCCGATTACAATATACAGAAGGAATCGACTCTTCACCTCGTCCTCCGTTTGCGCGGAGGGATGCAGATCTTTGTGAAGACGCTCACTGGAAAAACCATCACCCTTGAAGTTGAACCCAGCGATACAATTGAAAATGTGAAGGCAAAAATCCAGGATAAAGAGGGCATCCCTCCGGATCAGCAACGTCTGATCTTTGCTGGCAAGCAACTGGAAGACGGCCGTACCCTCTCAGATTATAATATTCAAAAGGAGTCGACACTGCATCTCGTCTTGCGGCTTCGCGGTGGCATGCAGATCTTCGTCAAGACCCTCACGGGGAAGACTATCACACTTGAGGTTGAACCCAGCGATACAATTGAAAACGTGAAGGCCAAAATCCAGGACAAGGAGGGTATTCCTCCTGACCAGCAACGTCTCATTTTCGCCGGAAAACAACTCGAGGATGGTCGCACACTCAGTGACTACAACATTCAAAAGGAAAGCACGCTTCACTTGGTGCTTCGGCTCCGTGGCGGAATGCAGATCTTTGTCAAGACTCTCACCGGCAAGACGATCACGCTTGAAGTCGAGCCATCCGACACAATTGAAAATGTCAAAGCAAAGATCCAGGACAAAGAGGGCATTCCTCCTGACCAGCAACGTTTGATTTTTGCTGGAAAACAGTTGGAGGATGGCCGCACCCTTAACGATTATAACATTCAGAAGGAAAGCACTCTCCATCTTGTGCTTCGCCTGCGAGGTAAGTGTTTCTTGGAGATAGATAAAAAAATGTTTGATGAACTGCAGTTCCTGCAGTACATACCAGTAGGTAGCCGGACAAAGTACAAAGTAAACTTTTGAGCGTTAATGCTAGTGTTGCGCTTGCGCTACAAACGCGTATTTAAACAACTATCTATAAATTCGCACGGGTGTGTTTTGTATGAACAGGTGGAATGCAGATTTTTGTGAAAACCCTTACGGGAAAAACAATAACACTTGAAGTTGAGCCAAGCGACACCATTGAGAACGTAAAAGCGAAAATTCAAGACAAAGAGGGCATTCCGCCTGACCAACAGCGTCTCATCTTTGCTGGAAAACAACTCGAGGACGGTCGCACGCTATCGGACTACAACATCCAGAAGGAAAGCACCTTGCATCTCGTGCTCCGTCTCCGTGGCGGTATGCAAATCTTCGTAAAGACTTTGACGGGGAAGACCATTACCTTGGAGGTCGAACCCTCAGATACCATCGAGAACGTGAAGGCGAAAATTCAGGACAAGGAAGGTATCCCGCCTGACCAGCAGCGATTGATCTTTGCGGGTAAACAGCTCGAGGACGGTAGAACACTGTCAGACTACAACATCCAGAAAGAATCAACGCTCCACCTCGTTCTTCGTCTCCGAGGTAATTATCAAAATCATTAAGCGGCATTTTAGGTATCACGTATAGGCATAACGGGCGGAGCACGGATTTTCCCACACATTTTCAAAAGATTTTGCAAATCGGACTGAAAAAGATTTTGCAAATCGGACTGAAAGATTTTGCAGTATTTATTTGGAGTAAGCACTGATCAAATAGCACTTAATTTCAGGTGGAATGCAAATTTTCGTTAAGACGTTGACCGGAAAAACCATAACCCTTGAGGTTGAGCCCTCGGATACCATCGAAAACGTAAAGGCAAAAATTCAGGATAAGGAAGGCATCCCCCCTGATCAGCAGCGTCTTATATTCGCTGGAAAACAACTCGAGGATGGACGTACCCTGTCCGATTACAATATTCAGAAAGAATCAACTCTGCACTTGGTGCTGCGCCTTCGTGGAGGACAGCTTACTATTTAATCTTAATGGGTGAACTGAGCAGCAACCTCAGTAAAGAATAAAAAAACGGTGTTCGGATATATTACAGTCTTGCCTTAAAAATTGGATCAGATCAAATAAAATTGGTGATATGCGGCGGTGCATAATTTGCGCGCTATATTATTGTGACAAATTAACTATCATGTCATAAATAAACAATCTTAAAGGAAAAAAACATGAACTAAACACCGTTATCACTTAGATACTATAGATAAATGCGATAAATGCATTGAACGATTGTTTCTTGTAAAAACGATTGCTTCCAGTAAAAACTGAATTAAACGCTAATAGCTACTTGTACTTTGAAATTGTAAACCATAATGTGTGACAGTTTATGCTGTAAGGTGCGATTAGTTTCTAATAACTATGCTGTAAGGTGCGATTAGTTTCGAATAACTAGACAGTCATAGAAACAGGAAGAGATAGAAACATGCGAGCCATTTCTGTGTGCTTTTTCGTCGTTTACCCTACCAACATTTCGGTTTTTCTAGACCCCAAAGGAAGCAAAGTTTTGCTTTGCTAAAACCCACTTAAAAGCAAAAATTTTTCTGTCAGCCATTGTTTTTTCTGAGCATAGAAATTTTTGTTCTAACCACGCATAGGAGAAATTAGGGCTAATTATTTTTTATTGAAGGCTTTCGAATCGCATGACTGAACATATTTAGTTTCAACACAAATTTAACTAAGCGTTGCTTTGCGGAACCATGGCCGGCTCGACTCTATCCCCTACTGTTGTCGCAATGAGCACATCCTTAACGATCTTTCGTTGCTGCTTTTTAATCATACATTGATCTCTATAAGTTCAGTTATTCCCATCTTTCTGTAATATTCTATTCCATTTTGATTCCTAAATATCGCTGCTAACTGCTAACAGGCTTTGAGGTTTGCATAACAAAAACAGGTTGGTAAAATTGTCTATTCATATTTATTTACCCAATTACGTGTTTATTTACTCAATATTGTGCTTCTACTTTATCTACAATAGCAATTGCAGGCAGTATTCACAAATGTTACACTTCGATATTATTCTGATTCTTTCAGAATCTCATTTCACTAGAGCCTCAATTGACGTGATATCCTTCAAGTAAATCCAATGATAATATATCTAATTGCTGATCACGCACGAATTAAATTCACCCGACAGCAATAATGCCTGGTGTGTTAAGTAATCAACACTGTGTTAATTGTACCGCAGACTGTTGGAATCACTGTACTAGCAGTTGCTCGACTTCATTGTTACAGTTATTATTTACACGGCATCAACGTATCGTACATCCGCATCACGGAGTTACCGACGATAGTTTCAAGTGTTTTGTCTTCTGGACATGACACTCGCAATTCCTTTAGGCAAATATCAACCCTTTTCCCACTGACAGTCAATGTCATTCGTTCCCCTTTAACCACGTTGGACACCGATTCTTCACCAAACATATCACGTAACATCTTAAGCATCAAATCTGAAAGCTTCATTTTATCCACCTTGTATTCGGCGACCCCCTTTGGCACTTCAGCATGACTACTTTGTGCCCGAATAACGCAGGTGACGACCGCATCCGCCAGCGTGTCATTATCCGGCGAGCTGCTCCATTCGAGCAGAACCATCTTGTCGTCCATTGTCAGAGTAATACGATCCATTATATTTAGGACCCGGCCTAGCTCGACCACCTTTACTGTGAGAACCTTCGAAATAAAGAAGTGAAGTGCCCGAAACGTTCCCTGATACGAGAGCGAAGCTTTTTGCTGAACGGTTGATTGGACAAGCTCGGTGTACTTGCCTAGATCTGCAGGTGCCATCAAATGGTAGTTAAAGTTTCGTTTCACGAGGATACCACTGATCTTCTGTCCTGGCACGGGTTTCTCGACGGCGAGCGATCCCATGACTTTGGCAAGCTGTTCACCTCGGAATTTTAATGAGACAGCGTGTCCATTAGCGGGATTGAAGACGTCCATCTTAACATCCTCGCCCTCATATTCGCGTTCGATGGCTGCTTTTAATCGCGACATCTCGTTCTGTTCTCCGTGAACGAGCACGATATTAGGTGGTTTCAAAGCACGAATAAACTCTGATGTCTGTTGATAGTCTGTGTGGGCCGAGAACGAAATGTAGTCTACTGTCATTTTTAGAGGCATTTTGTGTCCACTCATTGAAGTCACCTGTCCAGAAAACAAGACAGAAGCGAGAAAGCGCAGAAGTTACTTATATATGCTTGAGCTATACTATACAACTACGCAACCGTCTTACGTCAGATGCCGAACGTGTTAGAGGAGCTTTAACGGCCATTTGAATTAGTCCAACATACGGTGGTCGATCTAGTCCTTTAATGCAAAAAACAAGAAATATAATATAAAGAAACGTTTTTGCCTTGGGCCTCCTCCATATATCTCTTAATTGTTAACACCTGACCGTTTAGCTGAACACGCTCCTTGATTGTTGAGTAAGTACAGTTCTAGTTAAATGGCATAAGCCAGTGATCTAGTAACTTATAGCAATTGAAATACTTCGTGACGTACGTTCGGTGAATTTCTTTACCTCAGTTGGTTCAGAAAGGATCTGCTTGGCAAGGGTTCCTTCCACACAGTAGCCAGCAATGATGACACCGTTTTTCGAGTCTCCACACCATGACTCGAACAGCTCGCGGGATAGACCGCTTTGCATCATACCAGGACTAGCCATCACGACACAAGGTCCAACATCCTCGAAGTGATCAATGCTTTTAAGGTTCGAGATATGCTTGAACACGAACGGATTGTTAACGGCGATCTGCCTCCGAATGCGGTCGTTCATTGCATTTACATACGTTTGGTAGACAGCCATGCATTTTTTGGCTAACGAAGAGGCATAGTAGATTGGAATATCTTGCAACTCCGGATGTTGACTCCAGAACTCGTCTAATATAAGTAACAATTCCTGTGCTCGACCTAACGCGAACACTGGTATAAGGCAGCGGCCGCCTCGTGTGACAATATCTTGTACAAGCGATGTGAAACGATGCTCTCTCTCGGCACGTTTTTCGTGAATATGCGTACCATAAGTCGACTCGATAATGAGGACATCGGGTTTGACGCTCGGTATTTCCGCTGACATCAGATGTCGATCCTCTTGTCGTGAAAAGTCGCCCGTATACAGGACTTTGACGCCGGCAATTTCGATAAAGAACATTGCCGCTCCTAAAACGTGGCCGGCATGATAACACCAGAAGCGGATGCCTGAAATATGCAGATGCACAGCCGTAGCAATAATAGTGCTACTATCGTAAATCCTTTCGCGGCATATTAAAATTTCCTCTATCTGCAAGTTGAATTAAATTAATAGCTCAACATACGTAATAATTCCTATTGAGCAACTGAGTAGTTCTTCAATAACTCATTCTACTTCTATTTTGAGGTCGGCGTTCTATACACCATATACGTTCACATTCAGTTCTACATAGTTACCTAGCCAAAGAAAGGTGTTATTTACCGTTAACTTCTTTCTGCTCATGGAAGTTGATCACCTCGATTTTATCCATAGAAGCCTCCAGATCGGCCTCCGTGTACAAATTATTGCTGTCTGCCGAGCCAATATTACTAACTTTAATATAATCAGCTAACAACCATCTAAAAATAGTTAATTAAAATATAACTGTGCGTTAGTCATGTAAATGGCTATCGTACAAAACAAATACCGGTAGCAGTTACAGGTTTTAATATGTGAATTGTGTTTACTCAGTTCATTTCTGCTTTATATCAAGCTTTAAATAAGTATTAAAATTTTCTTCTGAATATCGATTGCTAGGAATTTTTTTAATTGGTACAGACATATGCATAGAAGGGATCAGGCGTGTGGTTTTTTCAAAATAAACATATTACATGCACATATAAAAACATCTTAATAACGAGTTATATATAATATAACTAATAATAATAATAAATGCTTTGTTTTTCTGCGGGGCAGCTTTACCTATAAATAGCTTTTGTGGCGTGTGTCATGAAGCACCGCCCTTTAAATGTCGTCTTTAATAGGAACCAGGGCAATGCTCCGCAATGGTCGAGATGGAAGTGCGAAACAAGTAGGAGATCAATTTCTTCAGCCTCGATTTGGTCCACGAACGGCAGCGCATCTACGCCGTTCATTCCTGTGCAGTGATTTACATAAATGACTAGGTTATACACAAGAGAGGTTATAGTTTCTACGCGTTCATTTAAATGTAACTTGTCTTAATATATTAGTATTACGCGCCTTGAACGGCTTACATAGTAACCGTTTTCGACTAAACTCTTCGATAGGAAATATGTTATACCATTTTTTTATACCATTGATGTTACCCTATCTTGGTATAAGTAACCCATGATAAAAAAAACTCAGCCAAGTTATATTCAGCTTTGCTTAGGTTAGGAATAAAAAAAAAACGTGTGATTGTCCAAATAAGTATGGTGTGCTCGTATCAGTTTTCGCATTTTTCCTTTTGTATAGTTGTACTGGCATTACTACATTATTCTTTTTGCCTAATACCACTAGATAATATAAGGTCGAGTTGTTTTAATTCTTGGGTTTTTCAGAGTCTATGAATTTGAGACCATTACACGAGATTGCTAGGATACGGGTTGGACATAATATTAGAATTCGCAGTGGAACGTTTGGTCCAAACACAAGTCTCTTAAATAAAGGAAACGCATGGCCAGAATTTGAAATATGTGAAACTACTTGTTCATTTCTGAACTTTCTTTAGCTTTAGATAGTTTCTATTATCTTTCTTAACAGTCAATAGAATTATATTTTTATTCTAATTAGACATTAGGCTTCCATTACGGTGCAAGTATGCTTAAGTCTTTATAACAAATGAGCTATTTCTATTAAAATTATCTGTATTAAATGGCCTTTAGTCACACTACTATAAAGTGCGTCCAAAGAGCAGGTGAGAGAGAAATAACAGAGCATCCGGTACTTTTGGCACCGGGATATGTTCTTCCAATGAAATATTCGGTTGCCTATTATGCTGCCACGTGACACTTGTATCCGTTGACGCCAATTTAAAATCAAAGCGTAATTCTCAAACCTGAGTACTGAATCCGGGGCTTTAACGAAGCTATACATGTGAGGTTCCATGCAGCAAGGGGATTTGCACCGACTTCTGTGTTTACCACAATTGAAAAGTGCCACAAACTCTATGCACTGAAACGAACAACGATGAGAGTTTCAGGTCTCATCAACACACCTTTCGCTACTTTTTAGTAATGATGAAACGAATCAGCTGTATCTGTGGGGTTACGTAAGAGGCTATCTCTTATTGTATATCTACTTATAGTCATAGTTTTACTTAATACTGACCAGGGTGTATGCCAATATCAAGCATAATCTTTTTTCCTTTAAACTCTATCATAATACAACTTCGGCCTACTTCTTGGCCAGCCCCGAGAGGTTTCACTGTCAGAATGTCCTCGTCACTCATCGTGGTAGATATTTCTCTCAGTGGTCGATTTCAGCAAATAACGACAGCTGATAAGAGTTCAATTCTTTCTGTTCAAGAGACACTTCACCGAAATCCTACAGCTTTTGCTACGAACAGAGGGATTTGCAGATTGACTGGGATAACATTGCACACGCAATTATGCAAATGTTAACTAATCATATTACCGAATTAGATTTATGTAATGTACTTTTTCAGTATTTCGTCTCCTCCTAAATTTTCGGTAGTTGACACTAGTAGCACAGCTCATTTAATGAATAAGAACTTGTTTCAAACATCAATCTTGTATTTACATGAGCGTTCGCTAGAAGGTTGAGCCGACACGTGAGCTGTCGAAGAAACCAAAACAATACCGACTGCAGCCATTTGCACCCGGAAATGAAATTCGCTAGAAATTGTTTACTAGTGCAGAGTCAATTCGATTTCTACAAGCGGTCAAAAGAGGGTTTCTAATCGTACTACTAGGATCAACCTCTCCTGCTGAAAGTCAGTGCTGCTACAGGAACACTTCACCCACTTCTAAGTTCCGGGTGCAGCACAGCCGCTGCTGCAGTCTACTTTCTCTTATTGCAGTCAGCGGTGAAAGGGCTCTTTACGTAACGACTTGCCCTCTGCGCGGTTTGGCGCTAACGGTTTCAAAAAAGTTCTATCTTTTGTTAACTTTTCGTATTTTTTTCTACCCAACGGCTGCTTTGTTGTTCTTTGCAGACTGATCTCCGAACTATTAAGAGCTGCGCCTTTTCTCAATCGGGTGCCACATCCGAGCTGGCGGGCTGGGGGTCAGGAGCGGAGTTGAAAATGTCTCGCTCTATGGCTCGATCAACCTCTCTATTTATTCGGAATATCGGTGACAGCATGCGGTAAGTTGCGGCATTTTCATAAATCTGAAAATCTTAAGTTTTAGCAGCGGTAAATACATGAGAAGTGGGCCGTGTGCTTAAAATTGTACAGAAACAAATTCGTACTCAAATGCTGCGCGTTTAGCTTTCAAGCACTCGAATGATTTTTTGTTTACTTTATCTAATAGCATCATCTATAGTAAAAAAAGTATAAGTTTCCAAAGCATAACAAATAGATTGAATATGTCGAAGAGAGAATTGATGAACTGGAAATCATAAGTACACGTACGGTTGCGAAACCGAAACACCTGTCTCTATCAGGTTATGTCAAGTGTGTCAGTCTAACTACAGTGACAGAATGACATGACATATTTAATGGCCAGTTAACTGAATATTAGAGGTGCGTATATATTAAATCAAAGATTCAGTTCATCTTAGTTGGCGTGTTTGTGCTTAGTGCTGTGGGTGACCTAAAAATTTTGTTTGGTTTCAATTTAAGCATTCTACTTGTGTACACGATGACAGGGTAATACTTTGCAGAATATATTAGTTTTGATCTAATGCAATTAAAAACTAGTTTAGTTAAAAGCTAATCTCCTGAACAAATAAACACTAGTTTCAAAAATAATACCTTTAATTAATACAATTAAAAGCTAGTTTCCTAAAATCCTTCCTAAGAGTTCAAGCCAAGTTGAACTTCATTCCTTTTCTCACAGCAGAAATTACATGTGTGTAAAGTACTTCGATTAATCGAACTTCCGTTTTGAGTATTGTACGTTTTCTTTCGGCGTATGCAGATGTTCGAGCTCGCTTTGTTTGATTGCTGCTAAATTACCATTAAAACGATCAAACTTCTGGGAATGCGCTTGTGAAAACGGGCATTCCATATTTGTTTGCATAATGGTGTGAAATTAGGAGCGAAAGCATATGTAAAAATAGTTTTCATTATGCTTATAAAGTTGTAATGCTGTAATGCTTCACTATACGGAATAATTTTGCTATCTATCACGCAAAAGGTAATTATTTACGGAGTCTTTTTTTATTTGAAAATAAAGTACTTTCGAGATTATCATTTTTTACTGCGAAAAAGAAACATTCTGTTCTTGCTGATAAGTCGTGTGTTGCTCCAAAAATGCAGTTCTTCGAAAGCGGCAGTTTTCTGATGAATTGTCTGCTTAACGGGGTACTCAGACGCCTAATACTGTCGAGTTCGGATTACAGGAAGCATCCATTCAAATATCCGGGTGCGATGGTGTTTAAGAAATGTGACCGAGCATATCTCATCCGTTTATCAAATTAGATATTGTTGGAGGCACATTCAGTCAATTAAACTTGCACGGAGTAGAAATCATATCCCGTATCGATTGGAAGTGAATACAGGATTGCAAAGCAAAGACTCGAATTGACTCGCTCGGCTCGGAAAAGGTTCGGCTGTTCTTTCCACTTTACCATTTTGCAACGGACTGAGCGCTTCTTTTGCAGCCAGGTTGCACCTCCGCATCTTTTAGGTACTGTTCAGATAGGGAAGTGCGCCCTAGTTGGTCAAGTTCTTTCCGATTCTTATTTGTTTAACGACATGTACTACTCGGCAAATGTGATTGATTAAGTAAAGAAACAATCAACTATGTGTTTTTCTGTGCTCCACAGTAGCGGCGACCTCCGTGACGCATTCGGTCGATACGGACCTCTCCTGGACGTTTATATTCCGCTGGACTTTTACACGCAGAAGCCCCGCGGTTTTGCTTACGTACAATATCCTTTTTCCTGCTCATCAAAACTTAACTTTTTCATCGTCACTGCCTGATTGACATCGGTTTTAGTGTTTCGGGAACATTTCCTGCAATGTTGCTTATCGACAGATGTACCCTAACGGATATGGCTGTTTTTTAGACTTAATCAGAATACTGAAGCATTAAAGGAAGAGATAATAAATCTGCCGTAACCGTTAATATACATGTGTTGATACCTTTTAGCGCGGATGTGAGACTCATTCGTCGAAGTCAACCGCATTTTTTAACGAGTCATCACGTTTTGAGTGGAGTCATTTTCGGTTTCTCTCACGTTCTACCTAAGTAAATGCAATTTTTCCTTCTCGCATCTATACGCTTATAACTTCATGTTTATGCGCTTCTCAGATCGCGAGCAAGCGCGACGGAGCCAAGCAACGCAAGGGCAAGTTGAATAGACCAAGTACCTGTTGTCGAGCGAGCGACGATGGCGATGACTCCGAGGAAGCAGCATGAGTACCGCAAGCTCTGGGCGTGGTGCAGGCAGAAAGGCCTTCCCCAGGACCTTTCAAGGCGTTGTAGTGTACTAACGAGTTGACGATTTTCGGATAATGTAGTTTCAGTGACAGAGATAAGGAGAAAAAATCGAAAGATAACCAGTTGTAAAGGTCGGTAGTGGTACAAGGGCAGGCAGTCGAGTGAAAGACATCCGATTTGCATAGGAACGACGGCCAGAAACAAAGAGAGAGAAACAGGGAAAAGGCAAGCGATTTTGTCGATTTGTCGACTCGCTAGACGAAATTCGAGTTCTGTCGGAAGTTGGTGACGCTTTGATCGCGCTCCTCAGGGTTCGCACGTCAGGAAAAGATTTAGAGAGAAAAGACTCAGAGAAGAGACAGAAAGAAAGCAAAGTCGAAATAGGAGTGTGTCTGCTATCAGGTGCACTGGTATTGCGTTCCGCGCGTGCACCTTTGTGATCGCTCACCGAGTGTGTATGCGTTCTCAAGCTTCTCCCCCATCACCGCGCAAGCTCCACGATCATGACGATATCCTTTTTTAAACGACCTCGAGTAAGCATACAACACACAGTGATAGAGATTAGGTGTTTGCTACTGGTAGGTTTTTCGACTAGTTGTATACCATAGCCGTGACGTCTGTTCTGTAAGTCTTCAATAAGACCGTTGAGAGATTCAATCCGTTTTGGGAGATTTATTTAGAAAAGGAACTATCCAGCTCAGTCGTTGAGCCTTTATCGTAAGCATTCTGCTTCGCTTAACTTTATTTACATTTGGCTCAGTTTCTCTGCGTTCCTAGTTAATATAGCCCAGCTGTTATTTGCCGCCCTTTAATATCAATGATATTTAATGCGCTCGTTTATCCCGTCACGTCAAACGGGACATTGTATCTAATTTGTAGAGCTGGCCTCGCACATAGCCAAAGCTTGTGGTATTAGAGTGACTTGTAGCTCTTTTTTGTCGAAAGCATCGTTTCCGGTTGACGTTGTGCTTCTGCTGAATAGTCTTTCCGTTCTTACTGATAGTATAGTTTTGTTTGCGTTGTCCCTGCATTGCTTGGCTCTACCGCTCTCTGCTGCTCTGCATGATGCTCTGCCGACGCTTGGCGGCTAATTTGTCCCGTGTTTGAAGTGAGTGGAATCGCTTGTTATATTTCGCCTAGATAGAGCATTTCGTTTCGTTTCGTTGCATTAGTACACTTTCATCATATGTACACAACTAGTGTTGATATCAAAATTACGTATGATCTGAACCTGGGCTAAGGAAGAACACCTGAGTGCAAGTGCGTAACTCGGGGGTGGGGAGAAAGAAAGTGAACAAAATGATTTATGTAGATTATAGCTAAGGTCGAATATATTCACGGTCCATTTTTATGTTAAAGCATCAAGCAAACAAAGCTTGCTCTACTTTTTTTGGAGTCTATGTGCATGTTCTTAAGTGTTCCGTTCCGTTTTCTAATCAGTTCCATTTCGTGGGTAGTTTTTTCACACGAGTGTTCGATTGTGAATTTCTGTGTAGCGTAGTCGGAGAATACCAGTGAACCAGTACACTAAAAACTGATTAGAACAGTTAGAATAGTTGTTGCTATGTATAAAGTTATAGAATGGTAGTAAGTTAGTACGCTGAAAGTTGCTCAGAAGTTGTACTACTTTGTAGGTATGAGAGTAGGTTGTAGACTAATATAATTTATTATTATGTAGTAGTCTAAATAGTAGGTATATACTAGACAAGTATTGTGGCTACGCAATTGCCTTAATGTTGACCCTGTCACATTCGAGAGTTTGCGAGATGCAGAAGACGCAATGGAAGCCATGCACGGAGTCCGCCTTCATGGAAGGGTGATCGAAATCGAATTCGCGCAAGGCGAAAGAAAAAGTAAGTGTGGCGAGTCGTCGTTAACTACCCATATAACGATATGTCTGTCACAGACAATACAGAAATGATATTAGTAATTTTCTTCCCCAGTCCCAGCTGTTCCTTCTTTGCATTCGGTCTTAGCTCCTAAACAGATGCGCGCACAAGAGGGTTCTCGAGGGCGTTGTCACTCCCGTTCACCTTTACGCCGACGATCGAGATCGCGATTGAGGAGTCCGATTCGTTCGTCACGTTACTCGCGCAGCCCGGTTTACAGACGGGACGACCGGGACCACCGTGACCAACATCGGGATCACCGCAGCGGGGCTGGCGATTACGTCCGTGGCCGAGGCGTAGACTCAGACCGGGATCGGGGCAGTGAATTTGATCGGGAGCGAGAACGAGAACGCGACAATGCGCGTAGCCGCCGGCGACGGGATTCGCGCGAGTATCCCCGCTTCTGTGACGAGGATGACGAGTACGGCACGGCTGACAACAGTCCCAGCCGTCGTTCATGGTGCGTGACTGGAGGTGAGGCGCGGGAAGGCCAGCTGAGTGTTAGTTCTACGGGCAACCCGTCTGTTTCACCCCAGAAAGAAAGTTAGTCACCAAACGACTCAACACATCGGTTCGCTGGATGTGAATTGAACAGAAAAGTTTTCCTTTTTTATAGGATGAGAGTTCACAAGTTTTACAAGACATTAGTCGATTAGTTGCGCGCTGTGACGTCATGAAGCCAACGTGATTCATGTGTCTTATTACGTAGCATACATTCCCTCTTCCAAATTTTAAATTGTGACATTTCTCACATTGGAAACACACAGTGGACAGTGCAAAATGATAGTGCTTTAGTAAATAGGTTTCTTCTTTCCTAACATTCGTACGTCCTTTTGGTGTATGTTCCAGGCGAAGTCGAGATGGGCCTCGTTGAGGCGGATCAGAGCACAGCTAGCGTCTGACGTTCGGATGTTAAAGTCGGGGATTTCAGATTTGTGATTTTTATTGTGACGCTGTGTTTGTGGAATTAAGGCCTACTGATCAAATAATGCTCAAAGAGTGGTTCTATATGGTCCCGAAAATGCATAGTCTATCAAAGAAATGTTCGAAGTTCAAACAAGCGCAAAGGAACACTGGACGTACGTTATTGAGGGATGTGCTCAATTTCTCAATACGCAATTTGTAATATATTGTGCAGCCAAAGTGAACTGCACCCTGTATGCTTGCTAACATTAAATATATAGTGTATGGTGATACTTCTTGTTGTATTTTTTGGCAAATGTATTCTTCCGGTACAAAACACAAAAGCCGGTGATTGGTATTAAACAGAGTCACTTTCTGTTGTGCTATATTGTTACGGTAGAGCCATCAAGCATGTGGAGGACAATGTTAATAATACCACTGCTTTTTTTTATATTTAACATTCACTAATAATACTGCTTTAAGAGTTCTGGTCTGGTACATAATTAGACCTTAAGTACTTTGTTAAGATAGCTGTATTTAATTTTAATCCAAAAAATAAAACAGACCTTTCTATATGTTGTTTGTAATTCTTCTATCAAGGCAACCATTAATCTTCATGCCTTATAAAATCAGCAGACAGATTGGATGTTATGTAAATAGTAGGAATCTCAGCGTGTGGTTTGTAATGTCATTAAAATAAAAATTAAAATAAAAAGATAGGGTTCCGCCTATCTTTTATAAACGCGTGAGCAGCAACGAGAAGCCGACATTCAAGTATGTATGTTCGCGGGCAACTTCGCGAAGTCAGGGGTACACATACAAAGGTACACATATAAAGGTAAGTTAGTACGAATCACGCTCACGTGTCCGTAACTCGGAATTTAACATTTTGATCACAAACACCTGGCTATTTTGTGAACGTGTTTTGCAAGCAATTAGATAGCACGTGGTAGGTCATCAGCGGGTGAACGAATGAGGCAAACCATCGTTTATGGTCGCCGAGCTTGACTCCTCTGTAGGTCCGGTATTCCTAAACAGGAATAGAAAATTACCTCTTTAAATAGATATTTCGAAATTGTTGCTTGTACGTTCTAATTGACAACAAAAAAATTCTTCGCACTGATTTTAATGCATTGCTGCTGAGTTTGCGGAGATTCGTTGTAATCGCACCACGTCTTTAGAAATAAACCAGCTTTCCTTCAACAAGCACAAACACCTATTTCTGCGATAGCGAGCTCTATATGTTATCCGTGGATATTCATTATGACAGTTTTTAGTATTTTGGATCTAATTCCTTGCCGTGGTTACTACGCATTACATGAAACTACAAGAATAAACGAATGAAGCTTAGCATGCGCATGGAGCTCGGACGAAAATTTCAATTTACTTTTGCATTCCACTTATCGATCTCAACGAAAGGGTCCCAAAGCTTGTACTTCACAATTAGCTCGACCGGTTAACTGTCCGGATCGCACTGTCCTGGAACGCACTGGATTTCTATTAACAGAATAATACCTAATGTACACCACAAAAGAACTCATATGCAATATGCTTGGCCACCTTAATAAGATGTTCATAACGAAAATAGTAGTACAGAATTCAAAACGTCTTATTAAATGTTTTATTAAAATTTTATTATTAGTTGTGTAATAATAATAATAATATAATACATAATATATTAATTATTATTATTAATAATAATAATTATCTAGCTATAAACCAATAAGAAGATGGAAACTGCCGCAGTGAGTTCTACTCGGTCGGAAATTAATTCGCAGTAAAATAATAGACCTAATAACTATTTTTATTATTATTTATAGTTATTAGGTCGAATTAATTTCGTGAACGATACAACCGAGTAGAACTCACCGCGGCAGTTATAATCTTCTTATTGGTTTAGCTAGAGGTTTAGCTAGATTACCTTCCGCAACTAAATAACCACGAGCTTGATAAGGCTTTTGCAATAATCGAAGAAAATAAAGCAAATTATACCGTTTGAGGACTTACTTTATTGGCGTTGTTTTAATCATCTCTATCAGTCTAACGCAGTTATATTTTTCACATTATTCATTGAATTAAAATTTACTTTGTATTGACATAAATAACACTTTTACTCATCCATTCAGTGTTAGCTTTTGCTAAAACCTGTCACAAGTATTGCTTTTTACCTATTTTAACTATACAGACATGTACAATGAGGGCTACCACCAGCATGTGTGTCCATATGGTAAGGTCCGCGCGGCTATCTAACAAATAGGCTGCAACAGTGAAGCACAAAATAATGGGTAGCTGAAGTACTGAATTGCCGTAGAATGTTGGCAAATATTCGATGATGATTGATCATTGAGAAAAGCACATAAATTCGTTGCCACACTTCAGGCTGTAATTATATTATTACTACCCATTCGGCATATATGCGATTAGATAGTTCAAACCTCAAATGGCAGTAGGGGGAGAGTGATTAAACCATTCGGCATATATGCGATTACGTAGTTCAAACTTCAAATGGCAGTACGGCAAGAGTGATTAAAGTGATTAATGTCTCTTGTCATTTGTGTCGTTTTGCGATGTGGACCGAAGTTAGAAATTCTAAAATGATACCGCTTTTCACACCTCAGTCCTACCTTACATATTATCGCAATGACAAATTGAATGGATAATGATCCATGGTGAATATTGCTAATATACGATTAGTAATACTAAGATGAACGCGCTATAATCATGCGGAATTCTATGAATGCAATTTTATACTAAAAATGTAAAAGAACTCGTGTGTTCTCGCCTAACCTGATGGCTCAGCTGATGTTGTAACATCTACACCAAAATCAACGCGATATCCCTAAACACAAACATTTTCGTTCCTCCCTTGAGCTTGTTTTCGTTTGATGCCTTAAAAAATTTGTACTCCAGATTACAAACGTTCACTAATAATAAAAATACACTAAGTGTTTCAACTTTTCTTGTCTTTTCTTCTTTAAATGGAGACAAAATCACGTTCTTTTCTCTATTAATCTATTTAATTTGTTATGTATTTTAAAATATTATTTAAACCTCAGTTAACTGAGGTCGGATTTATTAGCAATATACGTTGTATTATACTGCAAGGGTTGTTTTAACAAAATATGGTTTTGAACATTGAATGGTCATATTTCTCGTAGGATATGTATTCAATAGTTATCGTAGGCCAATCGCATTGTTTATATTCAGTTTTCGGTAAATATTAATCATCTCGTACAACGAGTATTTAAGGATATGAAACTATAAAAGTACATAATTCACTAAACCTTTTCTAATCGTGTGCTAAAACGTATTCACGTTATTAGGTAAAAACAATTTACAAAAACATAATAGCTTCTAACCAAGCAACCTTCCCATTTATTGGATATATCAGCCTCAAACCGTAGCTCGTTTAGTTGTATAGTAGGCCCTTCCTACTAAGTTGTCAATAATTAAAACCTGCTGCTCATTTTCTTCTCTGAATTTATATCAGTCCGTTTATGCTGAACGCTTGGGAGAACAGCGTACCGGCCTTTACTGCCTTCTAAAGTGAAGGATCCTTAGCCAATGCTACAAAAATCGTTTGTGATCATTGCCCTCTATCATTGCTCTCGTGATCTCGTACTCAAAGAAATGAAATATTTTCGGGCATCTACTTAAAAATCCTTGCGATTTTTGAAGAGCGTTGCAATCACCTTAGGAGCAACGTAACTTCACCGGTTGTGCCGCAATCCAATCGCAAAACCTTTTGCGGACTTTTGATCTATAATTAGTAGTATCATAAATGACTAACTATTCTATTTGTAGGTGTTTGTCTTATTGTTGTGGTCTTCGTTATTATTAAGGCAATCCTAAATTAATCATTTGTTATTCTGTTCTAAAAGTCGTTGTCATGTGAACGTACAGTTACTACAATTGGCTAGCTACTCGATGCCGTGGGCGAAGATCATAATTAGCCCCGGTTGTACCATCATATCGTCACCCATATGCATGTTATCGCACGCCAAAGCTACCACCGCCTGAAAAACAAACTCGCAAAAAAGTCAGTTACTGGTTTACACTGATCTTCATTAATAATTGTGCCATTTCCAAGTTATTTCTTATATACGGACATCAGTATAAAATCATGTACACATGCTGTTTGTAATCATTAAGTGTATTCAATAGTTATTAATAATTACAGGCTGCAAGAGTACCGGAAAAAAAAAGTAGGTACGTAATTAATTCGATTCGATTGTTGCTTTTGGTTTTATTGATGCAAATGTGTTCTTTCGTTCCCATATGTTGAAATCTCACATATAATATAAAAAAAAAACAGCATTAATCAAACTCACTTCTAAATTTCGTTGTCACAAATGTGTAATACATATAGAAGTGTGATAAAAAAAATAATCTGTTGGTGCACTAAATCATGTCAATAAATGCAGCTTACCTGTTTACCTGGTATCCTTTTGCACACAAAATTTTCGAAAGCTCTGCGATTGCGCTGCCGTGTTTCCAATGTATCAAGCCCACGAGGCCATTTTCGTTCATGAGCATTTTCGATCAACTCATTGATAACTCCTAGAGGACAGCCGCTATCAATTAAGGCGCGTTTGACCATATTTTGCAAAACACGATCAGGTGTTGAGATCATTCCACCCCAGCGGGTCACACGCGCGATATTTAAATTTGATGACCATAGCGCCAACTGGTGAAAAATAACACACATGCACCAACAAAATGTTTAGTGTTATTATATTGCTACCTTTATATCAGAATAATCAAGACGTTTTCTTTGCTGTATATTTTTAATAGATTTCAATCAAGGATAGCCATATTGACAAAACACTATTAAACGACACTTTATTGAATGGACTATTAACCAAACTTGCAAGTCAATACCTGTTTAACTGAGATCGGAACGATACAGCAGTGTAACTCAAATTGGCCCTAGCTACGTTAGCGTAGATACAAAAAAAAAAAAAAGAAAGATCAAAATAGTAATGTGGCGATGCGGCAAATAACAACAGGTAATACAAAATTAGAATATCTTTGAAGGGCAGACCGTCAATTCAGCGGACTCATCATTCTACAGCCGCCTTAATTTTCTATGTGAAAGCTACTTATGGTCATCCTAAGCTCAGGCCTTAACAGAAATCTCTTGTAAACCACCCACTTACGACGTGAATCATATGACTAACGGAAGTTTAAGTTATGAAGCTAAGGATAATATTCAGCAAATTAGTCGATGAATTGCCTATTTCATCGCACATTGAAGACTTGAGCTGGAATTGTAGAGAAGAATTGAGTCGTTGATAGGTGAGGAATCCGCACTACCTTAATCGATCTCTTTTAAACAATATTTCGACTAACACGCTCTTAGATTTATTTGGACTGAGAATTTTGATGCCCTTCAGCAGCAGTCACCATAGTGACTATCCACAGGATCCATAGAATTTATTAACTGTTTCGATTCCTACTAAACGTATACCGATACATACACAAAGATACACATACGATGTAAAAGAAATTAAAGAGGGCGCTCTTTATCGAATAAGTATGTTGAACGAAGAACGAACAAATTATTAATTAAATTATATCTTAAACAATTGGTTTTTGTATATTGCTTCGAAGTAACACAGCGCATATTTCGTAACCTCATTCGTACCCGAAGAAAAGAATATATTTAGGCACATCCTATAGACTAATGAAAACCTAGTAAGATAGTATTCTTAACTCATACGTACTACATCATGGACTAAACGCAAATAAACTGAAAGCTAGTGACGTCTCATTTTTGTGTAAGGTACCACAATGCGCTACTTGATACACGAAAACAGCAAATTTCTATTCTCAAAAATAAAAACTGAGACTTCTATCTATTATAGTAGTTTTGCTTTGTCTACACATGTCAATAGCCTTTCTTTTATGACATCCACGCCAGTCTACATGCTGACGGCTTCTCTCTGATAGGATTAGGGAAAGATCCTTCATTGTCGACTTCAATAAACGGTTTCTAGGGTTTACCCTAGAAAGTAACTTCTTTAAACCAGCAACAACCGCTACGAGCTACTCATAGTATTAGATCAATAAAACCAGTCTGTATTTCTAGAAGGGATCTTAAGAAAGATCATCCTTCGAGCATCGTGCTGGCGATAATTTGAACGTCTGTAATGTTGCGGAAAACCGTGTTGGCACTGCCTAGAATGATTAGTCGTAGTTAAATAGGATTCGAGGAGAGGAGCTAGATAAAAAAAAAAATCTAATCGTCCGAAATCTAAATGTCCGGAAAGCGTACAGTTGTCACCTACCCTAAGTTTGGAGTCTGGGAACGAAAAAGGGACCTCCAGTAATATTATCTCTAAAAAATGAACCAGCCTCATTGAAACTTAGACTTTATTTTTAAACTTGCAATAGTTAAATTAGCTAGGGTCTACGAACTTCGCGTCACGTCGTTGCCTTTTGATAGTTTGACCGTTCTCCGCGAAATCCTATAGATACGCTCATTTTTGCCTACACAGTATCTTGTACAGAAAGACGTTGAATCACTTGACAAAATCTGCCTGTTTACCTGCTCAATTCTATCCTGAAAGTCAGCGGAATTCAACGTGTGAGGCACTGCACTAGCTCGGAGATCCTTGAGGCGACAGATCTCCTCTAGCTGAGAGCTAATTTGCCTTTCCAATTCTGCCACTCTCGCCTGCTGCCTTAGCGCAAGAGCGCGCAGTTCTTTGATGCAATTATGGTCCTGCTCAGATGAGTTTAAAATATTCGAGTTACTCGAGTCTATAAAGCCACAAGCCTATTTTTTGTTATGTCTGAAGATAACGAAGTTACAGTTATCGAAACTCTTACGTTAATACTTGTAATATACAGTAACAGATATTTGTTAAGGCAGTGCTAGCTTATTACAATAACGAACGACAGTTAGTTGGCGAGTGAAGAAGCTGATTTTTGTATGCACTAATTAATGTGTTAGATGTTTTAGGGATGAAAACCGTAGCGCCCTTTGGAGGCTCATTCTTTTTTGTATGATCTGTGCTCTTGCGGATCGAGTAATCAGAAGCGTTCAATATTTCAATGTCTTGGAGAGCAACACGGAACCAGTTCAAGCTGTGATGGTAATCCGGATCTCCCGTTGGAAGGACGCATCTGTTAAAATGATCACGTAGCCATAATCGGCTCTATTTAGTTTTTAGATTGTCACAAGCACAACAGTGCTTAGCGGGACCCATATCTACAATCCTTAAATGACGCGGTGGGTTTTTAAGTGGGTAACATTTTTTCAGGTTATAGGTAAGCTTGTAACATAATACCAACCGCTACAAGCCGATGATGTTATTTTCGTTATCGTGATGCCAATATTACAATACTTCTACTGATAAGAAAGAAAAGAATGGTGATATCCAACAGACAAGAAATATAATGATGAAACACGTGCTGAATAACGTGCCGTAATGAAATTGTTACTTGCAAGACCTAACTAACTAGGCGACTATTCGCAACAATAATTCAATATGGGGTAGCGAAGGTTTACAATGTCTAGGAAAAGTTCTTCCACCAATACACAGTGTTTCATTATCTGTTTACAGGTATGTGGACAGTTCTTAATGATAGTAGCAACATTGTTAATGTTATTTTTAAACATCTCTCACTAACTTAAACTTTCATAGATCCGCGAATACTATGATTATTAAATTGTTCGCGTATTTTGAGGGTTAAAACTACCATTAGCGACCTTGAACGTCCTGAAGTTTCTTCTTATCTAGATTCAATTAATCATCAGTCAGTATGTCCTGTATAGTTACTGGCGCGGTTTAAAAAGGCGGCTACAACTTTGAATAATAATAATAATAATAAGCTGAGTGTGGTTGAAATGGAGTCGGTCTTTAAGAAGCCACATGCGCGATATACTGTATCCGAACAATATTATATGCAAAAAGTCATGGCAGTACCTTGAAACGATAAGGTAGACACACCATTAAACAGGAGTGTTTAATGATGGAAGCAATAGTTACAATAGGACTTGAGATAAATGGTAATTTTTTCAAAGATCACGCCAAAGTAAACACCACATGCTTAATATATTCCCGCTAAATATCTTACTGAGAATTGCTATGCGTAATTTTTAGTGAGGTTTTTGAAAAGTACTGAACTATCAGACTCCCAACAAATAGTACGATCGTTGTGCAAAGAAATGTTTCAAATAAAATTAAACAGTTACTGTCATTTGTGCCTGCTCTACTCGAAAACGTTTAAAAGAATACCAGCTATACCAAAAAAAGAGGGCACTGGGATTTTGGAAGGAGTAAGTAAATGAACAAATGATCACCCCATAGTGGTCAAAATCTCGCAGAATGATCATCTTGAGTTGAATCAGCATGCTAATATAGCGTGTAAAAGAAAAAGAAATGGGTAAGATATCACGAAAAGCGCATAAAAACTAACCCTGAGCTCGTCCTTAGGTATGACGAGATCACAGCCTTCGGTACACGTGACTGGTCGGCCAGGATTGAATTCACAAACGGTTTCATGAGATTCTAACCTGTCAAGTTTAACAACTTCAGTACAGCCGTGTTCAGCGAATTTGCAGGATAATGTCAACCGTGACAGCAGCGTTCGAAGAATTCGCGGAACAGGTTTTAACTGAAACACAATACAACTAACTATCACATATAGATTCAATAAAGCTAAGCTGGCACACAATAACACAGTGGTTGATTGTGCTAGCTTAGTTAACGACTATGCTTGACAGTTTGCTGAGTAGTGCAACGAACATGTGTAGCTTGAAGTTCAATTAGAAGTTACATACGTATCGACGAATTTACGTATAAATGAAATGTTCTAAAGGGTACATAAAAGTCGTTCTTGATAATACACCTAATTATACTTAGCCCTTAAAGATGAGCGTGTTTTACCGCAATAAGAAGTGGCGTGTAAATCTGGATCTTTTCTTATGCTTTATTATTTAAGACTATGTATGAATAGAGATACAATTCAGTCAAATTTTTTTCAGATGTTAAAAGTCATTCCTGACGGGTATGATTATACTATATAACTATCACCATTCTCCACAATATCAATTTGGAACCTAGAGCTCTTACTAATTATGTTTGAAATACTATTTCTTGAATGTGCTGCCAGTAACTGTTTAATAGTAACTCTGTGCCAAGCGATACTGGTAGGTGTGAACTCGTTAAAGTGTTTCTCAACTAAGGTGATAGCAAGTAAATAACCTTTAAAAATGTAAATGGTCAAAATCGCCAAAGGTGAAAAAATGCAAAAAAAAAACTCTACAGAATATCTGTATGGCCCAATTGGCAATTGATGTTTTTTTTTTTAAAAAAACACGTAGTTTATAGTTAGTATAAAAAATCCTAATGTGCCAGAAAGGGCTGTCTGAGCTTTTTGATTATTTTTGAGCCTTTTAAATTTAAACTCTATCGAAGATCTTGCAGTTAGCCCCATATGAATTTTCTTGTATTATTTAGAAGCTGCATGCAAACTGACGAAAACGCAGAGCTTCGACTTAGGGCGGAAAAATAAATTCTTAGTCGCATTGACGCTTTACTCAGCGCAAAGGACTGGGCAATAATTGATCTTCGCCCTAAATTCGAGAACAACGCAGTGCCTTTCGTCACGACGAATTTGTTGCATTGTTCTGAACCAAATTATCCAAAAATCAGCTGAGAAAACCAGCTTACTTCTGGTATCCGGAGTAGTCGGTCAACAAATGCTCGATACGACAAGCGATAGCCCGCCATGTACTAACCCAGGTTTCGACGCTGCATCTTGTATATATGGACAGCCCAGTATATGTCGAGACCAGGGTGTCAACAAAGTTACCTATAAATGAAATTTCCCTAAAGGTGCACAGACATAGGACATCCTTGATAATTCTTTTGACTATACTTGGTTCATGGAATTGTGTCTATTTATATAAGTGTGACACGATGAAATTTACATCATCAACTTATAAGCAAAAGTAAATATTCATCAGAAAAATTATTAAAATATACGAGATTTATCAAGTGACGTTTCAATGAGTAGATCTGTGAAAACACCAATGACAGGCTCGATTATAATAGATACGTAGAATCGAAATCGAAATATATGGGAGACGAGGGCAGCGTACGTTTAAGTGATTCAATTTAGTTAGTCAACTTAGGTAACTTAACCAAACGATATGAAATTCGCTACCATAGAACACTGCCGGTCTGGGTCAATCGAGTTATAAGTTAATTATTATTAGCTTCACAGTGCTGTACTGGTCTGTGTTATAATTACTCAGCCAATTAGTTTAGATATGTGACTACCGGTGACATCAATAAATATATTTTGGAACCTCTCTCGTTTTCTACAACGAGTGGATGCAAGTCAAGAGATAAATGTGCACAAAAAAGCTATGAAATAATACATATCCATGACACTTGGCAATGTTTGCAACACTGGCAGAGAGTGTTTTCGCCAGTTTAATAAGCCTTACCTCCTGAATAGTGATGGCACTTCTATCGATGGGACAGCTAGGTTTTCGGTCTATCCAGTTGTGAATACATTCTTTGCAAAAAGCATGTTCGCATTGTGGCGTGTGCACAGGTTCCTGAAGAACTCCTGAGCAGATCGGGCATACCAGCTCCTCGTCGACGCTAATAGGGGTTCCAGCAGCCCCAGAACCGCTGGCAGATGCGCTGACGAAACGGGCTAGCTCATAACCCATCTGGAAATTGGTGGGGTACATAAAATACAACACATGTAGAAATCAAATCTTATCAGTACATTAGCACAGTGACTAAGTGCAACATCTCGGTAAAATATAAGACTTCTGAAAATAGCTCATTCAAATTAACGGTTCAAATGGCTTACGTGTACAAGTCTTTCGTCATAAAAGTTAAGGGCGACTACTTTAGAACGTATGCTAAGACACGTATGTACATACAAACATATTGAAGTCCCTTAAATCCTAACAATAAAAAAATTAGTTGTAATTTCATTTACGACACTCGGAGCTATATGAAGGATCGTCATCCTTCTTCGCCCCCTGGGAAGTCTATCTTCGGGCAATTGGATTGCCTGAATGAGGAACCCATCCTCAAAAATAATTTTTTTTCAACATTGCGCGGTATAGCCCCCCAGTGCATCTGTGAAGAAAGGGCACGTCTGCGCAAAGCCGTTTACGAAGACATTGCATGGTGCCGTGATATCACTTTTCGAGAAAGTAAGGATAGTACGGAGAAAACATATATTTCAATAAAGTAGCATAATACCGAAATTTCCAACACCCCGAATCCTTGTAGAAAGAATACTAATAAGCTCAGCATTCCTGTATTGTTCCAAAAAAAATTTTCGGTTCAAATGGCCCATTTGAGACCAATGTCATAGTATCACGCAATGTGCGAATATTTAAGCTAGTGACATGATTTGATTTGCTTGCTTATTTATTTTTTAGTTTTCTAAAATATTGTCAATAAATAGTTCACTACTAGAATTTGATGATTTATATTATTAACTCAAAATAATACAGCCAGCCTTTATTAAAACAGTTAAGCATACGCTATTAACCTATAGTATAATTAAACGAAGATCCAGCTTGGTTTGGAATGGAACAGAATAGAATAGAAAAATTTATAATTAGTGGGTACTTGCTTCAAATACAGATTTTACCGTCGAAGCAAAAAAAAAAAACAAAAATCAGGCTTTGTCCCCGCACTGTCTGCAATTTGGACTATTACCCTAGCCCTCTTGGGAAAAATCCTCAATTGTCGATATCGTACGCTTAGTTTCCGTTATCAGAAATTGTTGATGATGTATAACCGTGTATGAGAGGGCTCCGAAAAAGTCAACCTCTTGCGTGCAGCTGTCAACATTGCATAGGATAAGGGCTTCGTTATTTTCTTTACGCAGAATAAAAGTTGCGGTCAGTGCTAAGTCATAGCGGTAACAAAACTAGAACACCGATAAACATATGCAAACACAAATATTTTACTTGCCTAATAATAGCGGCAAATATGGCATAGTCTTGCGCGGGCGTAGTCATTTACATAGAGATACTACGTCTTAAATAATGTGTAGCCAATTTTTACGTTCTAAACTTAACCAGTGTTGCTTATCGCAGAAGATACTTCCACTGTTCTATGATTGACTTTTAAAAAAATTGAATTCACAATTTGAAATAACCTGTGAACAATTCGTGCTGCGGCTTCTGCTCTTCTTTCTTGGAGAACTCGATGATAAATAACTTTGGTAAGGCGAAGAGTGGCTGGTTTTGGATGGCACAGACTAAGCCATCTGTGTACTTCTGTCGATCACAGATGAGACATCTAGCGAGCCTCGGCATATTCAACTCGACAAAGAACTATGCTCGCGTATCTACATTAGAAATATGTGTGGTTCATTTTTTACGAAGATGACATAAGTCTCAGTTTAGCAAAAGTTTGTTATCGTGACATTTACACTCAGTAGTAGTATGCATTATGGTGATCGCGAATTAGGTAGATGTTTATTGTTATCAAGCTGAATTTAGTCTCCATAGTGAAATAGCTATTGTTTTGATACTTTGGAAAGGACTATTGATACTTGTTCCGCATCACATGATCAGGCGTCCTGCACTACTATTATTGCAATGTTTATATAGTCAACGGTTGTTTGAAGATTATGTTGATGAAAGTTTGCTGTAAACAATGTAGTCAATGATAAGTTGTAAGATCAGCAATGCCTACATATATTTTATTATTATATTGTAATTATGTATGAATTACGAGAACTAATTTTAAATCAACTACACTGCGAGCGACCTCTGTAAAGTACCAGGTTAAACACACACGCTTAGTATTATAGACATAGTTCGTTTGGAATAAATGCAAAATAATATTACACTCAGTACTACTTGAGTACAAAACACGTCTGCTGATAATCTCGGATCTAATCGAACGATTCACGAAAATGAGGACAAACAATGAACAACAAAACGAAAAGGTATTCTTCTCCCAGTGTCGATTTACAGAATTCTTGGTGAGAGCAACTACCAGCGAACAACGTTCGTATTGTGTTGATTGTGGTTTTATACTGGTTATTCAACGAAACAAAACAGTTATACGTCGGTAATCAATAGAACATACTACATTGTCATTGTGCAGACCTTTAATTTGTGTTCTAAATAAAATGGCTCAAGCATTATTCTCCATAAATGGTCATTCGACTAATAAATAAGGTTGATCAAATTCTTCTAATTCAAGGCGCTTATAAGTGCCCAATACGAATGCTTACCGTCTGGCGAATATATATAAAGCTCGTCTTATTATATTTACAATCAGATAAGCATAAGCGTTGCTCCACTATGCAATTTCAATGACTGAGCAGTTGTGAACTTTCGCGTGAATAGTCTATTACCGTTTGCAGATATCTTCAGATTGTTTGCAATTACTAAGCCACTACACAAACTTGTAATCAACAAGGTTTGTACGACACAGTCTAGATTTACTACTCATTGACTATTTCATTTTTCCAACTAACCGTGTGCGTCGTACGCGGTCAGCAGCCACGGTTGCGCGATATTCTTGTGACAAAAAAAAATACCAAAAAAATACAGTAAGTGTTAAAAATAACAGCAATAATCCCGCACTGGTAACAAATTGTTTCCCAACAATTCGTTAGACCAAAATGCCGTATGACCGACACCCAGCGAAGTTCTCAACGGGTGCCAAGATCTGTTATCTTACCGTGACAGTTGTAGTCACGGTCGTTACGACACCACACAGGTAGTTTGTCCATACGGGTACGTTTGATAAGACAAACATAAACATGGGACCAATGATAGCCCGGACAGCTCGATATTAGTCTGCTTGCTGTTTGCATATAACATAATCGAATAAACCTTTTTTTTTATTTTTTGTTTATTCTAGGCCCTACCTACTCAGTGGATACTCACAGTTCAGATAGGTTAGTTGACTAGTCGGCTGCCGACGATACGTCGCCGTTGAATAACGGGAATTCACAGCGCAAAGACATAGACGTAAACCCAGAACATTACAGTACTTAAGTCGCCCGCAGTAGCAGCAGCATCAGCAATGATAACGCCAGCTGCAGGAGCGATACTCGTCAAAGATTACTGGCAAACGACACTCTCCATGATCACTCTTTTTGAGGCGGAACGCTGTCCGTACTTCCCGACAAAAAAACACCGCTAGCATACACCAGTCGCAACAACAGCATTGCTGCTTACGAACAACTGCCAGACCGCCCGCAGGGACAATATCCTGCTTTCTCACTCGGCCAGCTCTGAGTCAGAAGAATCCAAACAAAAGTAGTGGGCGAGGGGCCCCGGTCGCATGATGGTGGCGTAAACCAACATGGCGGGCCTTGCCAAAGTTCGTTACCTGTTTTGGTTGTCGCTATAGTTATCCACTCTTGGTTTCTGTTGGAATTCAGGACGAATGTAAAATAAGTTTGAGCTTACAAGTGGAATGAATTTCAGCAGTGTGTTACGAGAAGGACCCGTTTGGCAAGCTCAAACTCCTTTGATAATTGCATTAATCTTTTTGACATATAAGACGTTCGTAAAGAAATTCATCTGGAATCTAGTATATTTTATGTAAAATATGCGTCGCTAACAGTACGTGATTTTTCCATTCATCATTAAACGTTAATGGGGACACAATGCTGTGAATGATGCGCGATTCAAAAACTCGCGCCACTCAGCTGATTCCGTCGAACGAACAGCTGATTGATCATTGTTGTCATTTCTCCTAAGCTAACAACGTAAACACCACTGGTTCATGGCCAATCGACGCAATGTCTCTATACGGGGTGCTGTTTATTCAACTGCAAAAAAAGCTCGAAGGGGCAGCTGGCTCGGTGGTTGCTCCCCGAGACCAGTCGTAAATAGCTTCATAAAATCGGCAAGTACTTGGCCTACTTTTTATTAATACGTTAAGCTAGGATGGCCAGAGTAGCAGCGACTGTAGAAGCTATGCTGGCCACGGCCACAATAGATCACTGTCAGATCAAGCACACCTATCTTCTTGTCAAGGAAGAGGACGTTTCTTCCAGCTGATAAGGTATTTTAGTTAGCTCGGGTTCACCCATAATCGCTCGGAACTATTACCTCTCATTTCAATGAGTATGCGATGGTATAGCTTCGGAATGAGGCCGGCTTTAGCACCACCTATGTGAAATTAATTATGATTAAGCGGTGCTTTTATGCCATGCTAATTTTATGCTACAATAGTGCTAAATATCTAGCAATTTATATGTATTAAAAAATAGATATAGAATCTATCTTGAGTTAGGGCGTTGGATGGAATGAAGAAGAAAAATAGGAAGAGAATTCATGTTGGACCTTGTTCATTAACTTCGGTCTACCCCAAGTAGAGCATGGTTAGGTCCTTGGTACTTTATTCGTTTGACCGATTGAAACTTTTTGCGTCAACAGGAGATACAGCGTCGTCTTACGGTTAATCAACTATATATATGCGTGATTCGCTTGGTGGTCCTCGCGCCGACAGTTAGCTCACGTCCCAGTCAACCTGCGCATACACCTCGGTTTCTAACGTATGGCCCACCTATCTGAATCCGTAAGAAGATTATTGTCTTTGGCCGGTGGCGAACTTTTCGTAACCAGGACGTCCAATGATTGAAGCAATACGCTTTAGATAAGCGACCCGATATTTGGCTGTCCTGCCGATTGAAAGCTCGGCCCTATAACTGTTCTTATGCTTCGAGAAAATTTAGATCCGTGGTACCTGAAAGATTCTGCCGAAATCTTTCAGTGTCAACAGAGATTATTATACCGTATCCTCTAGTAGACTAAACCGGTAGAATTCACGATGCTTTATCTCTAAGGCTCTAAAGAAAGAATTCCTGCTTTGTCTGGCATATCTCGGCAGAAATCTGTAGCGACTTTAAGCAACATGTGGAAGTTTAACCTTTCGACATAACCAATGCCATAGGCCAAGTTGCAGAGGTTTGTGGATTTTGAGCTTCCGATGTACAGTACTAATATTTACAGACTGAAGTATGCTGGTGGCGCGATATTTATGGTTTGGGTCGATGAGTCCTGAAAACAGTTGAAGAAGCCTCAGACTCTTGAGGAGTAGTGTCAAACACAGGGGATTATCTCTTTGCAAGTCTTGGTCGTCTGTTAGTGCTGTTAGCAACTCTGATCCGTACCGAAGCTTCTCAATGAAAATCCTAGCCCCAAGCTCAAAATAAAGTAGCCTAATTCGTATCTATTAAACAAACATCTAAACTCCGACAGACATATCTGCTTACAGTTAGCATTCAATGTCATGAATGGACGCATGTACACTCCTATGCTACCATTAATTGCCACTTGATATCGACATGCAATTTTTATGATGATACGAGACGCGCACCTGTGGTCTTAATCATCCTATTATATTATTGACTTCCATTTTCCACAGGCGACCAAGAGAAAAATAGGCCTGGCAGCGGCGGCAGATCGAGCTAGAAACTATGTAAGTAAAACGTTCTCTTGCTAGCGTACCACCGCGGCTTAAGTCGTTCCAGAAGTATATCCGTCACGTGAACAACATGGAGCAGCGGAACTCGAATCATCTTGAGGATTGCTGGTCGTATTGCTTGAAAATTGGTTCGCGTATGGCCTGTGCATTCGTTTCGTTTACAACGCCGCTGGACGATCATTGTCACAGGGATGCAAAGAACAAAACAGCTATGGGAGTCACGTACCTTTTTCAGTACGTACAAGAATCCAAAGAATTTTGATTGAAGGTGTTGTCGGACTCAGCTTCCAGATAAGCTTCTATAAGCTTGATCACTTACGAGTTCACAAGGCGCGATATTATATCTAAGTAAATTGCTTATCGACGCCGTAATGAAAAAGCTAAGGCTACGAGTTTATTACACGCACGGTTTCAATTGAGCAGCTTTCCTAATCTGTGCGTATCCTGCAAATCAGATCAGCTGGAGCACCAATGCCGCCGTGATCACGTTCTAGGATACGCGTGAAACAGGCATAAGCAAGATAATGTCAGGGGTTTGACAAGCATGTTCGACGGAGGCGACAACATGCCCCAAGCAGCATCGTAACTAACTCGGGGAGAGTTAATGGATGGTTGCAAAAATATGTATATTCCCGCAAAAGGGATTTCCTGGGGCATAGCCGGTATCTGTGGCTAGGGATAGTTTCCTGAACTTAAAAGGAAAATCACTTCGTAAACTAGGAAGCTGACGGCACGTGTTACCTTATGGTGACTTCTGGTAGAGATCGGCTTTACTTTATTGACCAAGATTATGCGGTTTTTATGGTTGACGGCCTGACATTTCTGTCGGCGGAGGACCACCTCGAACACCTTTAGCATACGTTGACCGATGGCGAATTGATGATGGCAATGGAAAAAGCGTACTGCGTTACCTCATCTACGATGTTACCGACTTCGAAAACTTCCCCATATGTGAGTGTCTGAAATGTGTAGATCTCCGCGTCATGAAGTCACATATAGTGCCACATAGAAAGGATTATGAATGTGGACATTGAATCAATTAAAATCCGCGTGAAGAAATTTTACGATGTCTCAGATACACAAAAGCTCTTCAGCAATAAGTTCCATTTGCTAATTTCGTATGAGATTGGTGGACTGGTACTCTAGCCTTTACATAAACTGAGGCCAATCGGAGCAATTTTGTTTTGAAATGGAAGTCTACGGAACAATCAATTGGCGACTTGACTTAAAGCAGAAAAAATCATTCCACCGAGAAATATTTTTTCGAGAAGTAAAAGATCTCCGTTTGTTGACGGACAATATATGCCTTCCTTAAAACTGAGAGGGTTGAACAATAGAGCAGAAATTCAATGGGAAAATTGTCGAATGGCGTCGAATTGCTATCTAACAGTGGCGCGATCTAAATAAACAGCTGATGGCTGGCTGGATGGACGATATTACGTCTCAGCCGTCATGGGTGCTCAGCTAGATCGTTTCCGAATGACTGCAACACTTGGTTTAGACGTCGTGGATTCTATACAGAAACCCGTAACGGTTGATAAGCAGCTATGCCGTCAAAAAATATTCTTATTCTTGATAAACCAGCTGAGTTTCCTGAAACGACGATGTGCGAAAACTCTACGTTGCACAAAGCAATTCAGATTCGGGACATGAGGCGGCGAGAGCAGAAACACCCAATGGATGTTCGAACAGCGGTAGATGAACGATTTGAAAACGGCAATGGATAGAATAAGGTATTGCCGAATCGGTTGTACTCATATTGATTTGCTTTTTATTCAAGTACGTTTTGTGGCAGAGATGTTGTGATGATGATTCTGCGGGATTTTCACATTCCGTTTGAGTCGCACAATTTTATCCGTTCAAGTAAGGGTGTCTAGATTGTTGTAAAATGTTTGTAAATGATAACGTATTCGAGTCACCGGTAGTTACAACAGCTGTATTTAAAAAGGCAATCTTGGTCAACTTGACCGAAAGGTGTTAACACTACACGAATTATATACATATATATACATATATATGTATATAATTCGTGTAGTATTTTCAGTTCGTTATTTGTTATAAGTTGATTAGCGAACATATCTAATTACGGTAGTACAAAAGCAAGGCGTATAGATGCGTATTTTTGCGTAGAGAATTGCTTGTTATGCATTTTAATAAAGTTTGTGAATCCTAAAATGGCTGGTTTTCATTTCACCTACATAAGCCTGTCCACAAAGAAGGTAGAGAACTCTAGCGGAATCGATACTCGATATGATGGTAGGCAAACGAGGTAAGTAATTGTTGGAAGGACGAACTAGCCAAGGGGTGGTCCGGATATTGCGCTGTACTTGGGCCCACTTATATGTTCCAGGGAAATCAGGACAAATATCTTTTACTGTTTTGTCTTTCCAGATCGTTCGTGAGCTTCATAAAGTGACATATTAAAATTACATTTAGTTCACGGTTGGAATCAAAAGGTGTCTCGTTCTAATCCAGTTAAGCGCATGCGAATTGATACAATCTTGTTCTTGAAAATTTATTAGTAAATATATATATGTAGATGAAGATTAACTGACAAGAAATTAAGCGTGCTGTGAATCTGGAACGCATAAAATAATAGTTTGAATTTTTAGCCACAGACTGCTAAGATAAAGCTGAGCACAAATAGCGATGTTTTTCACCATACATTGAATGCTTTTTCTGTTTTATTTGGTAACCCTAGTAATTCTGCTTTGCGATCGTCTTTACGATAAAGTTCCGTAACATATCCTATAAACCTTTCGACCTGTACAGAGTGCAGGGAAATAGTTCTATACAAATTTTGTGTTTTGTCCAAATCAAAAACATTTCGAACTGACGGCGGCTTGCCTTTGCTCCGGCTTTAGATATACAGATATTAGCAATATCGAAATAATCTATAACAGCTGAAATATATACATAGCTGCAAATACTAAGAAAAAACGTTGGGGTGTTTCATTATACTGGCAGTATCTATATTAGCGATTGTACTGTTTTCACTACGCAACCACTGAGCAAATTTTCAATGCCAGAAGGTGGGCATATTGGATTTAGCGAAACAGTTAGATAGGGCTAAATTGTTCCAGGGCACCTTAGGCCTTAGTGCTTGTTTTATATGGGTCACTTCACAGACTTGCCCATAAAGAGTACCATCTGAAATTTTTCCGAACGTCACCAATTTTGAATCGTGGAGAGTTTTTCAATAGCATGTAACAGAAATATTGTAGGAATTGGCTTGAAATCTATGAGCTACAGGTTACTTTCGCATATAAGAAAATTGTATAATTGAATCTTACCATAAGGTTATTTTTTTTTATTGTTTTAGTATAATAATAAAAAATAATATTACTAATATTATTTTAAACATTTGACAGTAATTCGTGCGATATGTTGACAAAGCCGGCTACGACTGGACAGTGGGTATCAATACAACCTTTTAATAGAACATTTCTTATCACTAGGTGCGACAAATACGAAACAAAAACGTTTTTCATTTACCAACTAGTTTCAGAAAAGCGATTTAAATTTTCTCTGTAGGTTGTTGAGATCCCCTACTCCTGTCGGCTTTGTGACTGAAATAAGATTTTTCGCAGTAGTAAAACAGCTAGCGCGTATTTAACATCATATGAAGAAAAATCATTTTATAGTATAATAAGTACTACCATAAATTACAATTCGAAGGTACTTTGCTTCCAACCACTACAAATCCAAGAAATATTCATAAGTGAACTTAAGCGTTCGCAGTTCATTCATAGTAATGAGACAGATGAGTGCTTTGAAAAACTATTCGACTGATCTATTTCTTTTACTTAATTGTATGTTTTGTGTAAAGCGGTTCTCACTTAAGTGTTTATTCAAAAATACCCGGCACACTGGCTTTCATTTGGCTGCTAGCCGATCCGCTTGTTGACGTCGTCTGCTCAGCAGGCAGGTCAATGCATTTGTGGAATGATCTTGAGCGATAGATCACAGCTACGTTGTCGCAGACATCCAGGCGGAAAGCTAACGCTGTGGGCAACGACTCACTCGTCCGGTGCTGTTCGTTCGCTAAGCGGGTAGTAGCGTGAACAGCGGAGTTTGTATCAAGCTGGTCGTCGGTACGTTATCATCATTATCAGCAAGCGGATTTCGCAAACTGGATGCGATTTTAGCATAAAACGAAAGTTCAGCCGATGCAGTCTGCTAGGCAGCGATTACAGCTGTAGCGTGGTGCGCATTCGAATGGTAGTATGAGTAGTACTTCAGTGGATATAATGGACGTGCGATGTTTGTTAGTGTGATGCTGCTCCATCGGTCCGTCGGTCCATACGAACTCGGTGCGTGCTTGGCTTTTTGTTGTCGTTGTCGTTGTTGTGCGTGCGCCGCCACGGCCGCCGACGTCGTCGTCTTGGTCAGACGGCATCAACGTTCCCCGTTGGCGCCGTGTTGTAACTATAAGTGAGCGAGCGAGTGAGTGTATGGTTCTGAGTGTGAATGCGACCGTTGAAGGGAGGAGAGTCGAGTTAGTCGAGTTGGAGTCGCACACACGGACGACGAACAAGATTGTGTGGGATACACAGTCACTTACTCACACGATCGTTCACAGGCCCATCTAGAACACCTAAACAGCCGACGGACCAGCCAGCCAGTCAGCCTGCCTTCCTGTTTATCAGCCAGCCCCCAAAACTGCCACTGCCTGAACGTCTGCCAGGGCAGCAACCACCACAATCACCTTCCGAGTCTGAAGTTTCTTCGCCTGCTCCCGGAGGAGGTGCTGGGGTTGTGCTGTTCGTTAGGTTTCCACTGAATGCTCTCTGTAGCGAAGACGGAGTCGTAGCGCCCGTAGCCATCTGCCTCGCGGCCGATTGGTGAGTCTTATCAAACTAGCTCTAGTGAGAGATAGCGAAGCTTGCGTTCGAATTAGTGATTATGTAAAGGGATCGAAGGACTGCGTGACACAGCATAATGGTTAAAGAAAAAACCGATCTACTGGTAGGTTAAGAAGTCCAAGTATGGTTTACTTACCTCCCTTTGAATCTGAATTGGGTGTATGAAGATGGCTGTACAATTGAGTGCATATTTAGTGAAAGTCTACCTGTGAACGTGTAAATATACATAATTGTATAAAGTTTCGATATGAATTTAGCCGCTTACTTTTAACGTTCAATCCGCGAGCGACGGGTATACGGAGAAGTGAGATCTTGTTTCGTTCACTTGTGGCAAGCAGGGTCTTTCTGCTGTCGATTGTACTGATAATGAACCGCGTGTATCTGCGTATTATGGATGTGAACAATGACATTGTGTCTAGTCGAACGTAACAGCCAGGGTAGTATGGACTCGTTATAGAGTTGTCGCACGTAAGCTTGCATTTGTATAGAATTTTGAAGTTAGATTGTTTGCTTGTTAGTAGATCGCTTAAAGAGGAGGCTGCTGCAAATTATATCGATATCTTTCATTTGTTATTTGATAACAAACAAAAGCTGTTTTTTTTTTTAGCCTGTCATATTTTCCGGTGTTATACTAGTGCGTGCTTTTTTTGCTAACCATTTTTGACCTCATTTGCATTGATTCTTGGGACTACAATAATTCTAGTTACCTTCAGCGACTTTCATGTACTTCGCTATCCCATGCCTGTTAATAACGATCGTCACAGACGGTACAGAGCGATGACAGGAGGACAGTCGATGCACGTTAGGCATGGCACGGTAAGCCTTGCGGAGTTACTCCAGGTGTGGGATAGACACACACAGAACAATCACTGCAGTATGTACCCGCTGCCTGTCTCCTTTAAAAGCCAAGCGCAATGCATGCGGGTCACTTCATTTAAGGCCTAATTGGCGGAAATAATGCAGTTGTTTGATCAGCACGGTTATGCGTTAGCCATTTGTTACTACGTAGCGATATATAGGAAATAAGAATTACGTGAGCGGTACACTACAACTGTCTGGTGATTCGCATGGGCGCTTATGATTGTTAACACGGATTTGCTTAATGTGCATTACTTCCTTGCATTATTTAGGCAGCTTCTGCACGAGAGGTATATAAAATTGAGTGGCCGTTAAGCATCAACAAAGTAACCTGATGGGGCTTACAGAATACGAATGGAAAGGCCGACGAAACTCAGCGACCTAGCTGCACAAATGAAGAGTTTGTTCTATATTTTCTGCCATATAATGGTTTAATAATATTGAGTGATTTACCTTTAATTCTTTTATATAAAAAATTGAGCGTTCTGGACTTCACTGGTTTATCTAATAAATGAACAAGGTTGGTTTTGCACGATTTTGCACAGAACTCGGAAGTTAGCTTCCCGATACTTGTCAAGTATTTTCTGTAGTTGTTTTGTGGCAATAACCGAAATCGATCGTTTATTTGTCTAAAAAAATCGATGGCGAACCATAGTTTTCTGTATAAAACCAAATGGCCGAATGTGGCTTTTTATAGGTGAGCATTCTCACGTACTTCTCACAATTGCAAGAGTAGCTGCTTGTTACTCTTGCCACTGTGGATATAAAGCTTCCCTGGCGCAGTTTAACAGAAAATCTAATATCTTAATAATAATACCTTAATAATCTGGGTAATATCTACCCTGAGTGAAATGCATCGATTGAAGAGTAGGGTAATCTCAGACAACCCTTGCTCTTGTTGGGCCGAATCGCAATTGTCACGCGTCATATAAGCAACTAAGCGCACAAATTACGCGCGATTTAATTGCAAACCTATTGCTTGCCCTTGTGCTTGCCGCTGTTGTTTAAATCACTTTATTGCTTCGGTTATATAAGAAGTGACGTTGGCACCTACATTTATATTTAGCTAACTTCAAAATTACGCCAACAAAAAACAACAGAATTCGAACGAATAAATCCTCCCGAAAAAAAAAATTCCGTATGTTTAAGGTTTTATAAAATCAATAAGGCAGGCTTCCTTGACTTTTTTCATGTCAATTATTCACTGTTTTTGGCTACATTTTCGCATATACTTGATGCTGCTGCTAAAATAATGGCTCGGATGTTTCCAAGTCTGTATCGCGTCCAAACTGAGGATCCGAATTACTTATGAGCAGGATTACATACCATGAAACCCGCTGTCTGGTCCGGCATATGGGTTGGAGCCCAGACGAAACCAAACTCTCTTCGCTACCAAGAGATAATTTTAGGCTTTCTTGTACCCCAAATCGTTGAAACGAGTTTGAAAGGCATATGGTTTCAGCAGGATGCTCTGCCCCAATAATGTACATTATTAAATGATTATTTCGGCGAGCAGCTGCTGTCTAGGAAGCGCGACGCCGAATGGCTTCCCAGATCATGTGAGATAACTTCGCTCGGCGTCTTATGCATGGGGACACTTAAAAAACAAGGTGTATTAGGACTATCCACAAGCGGTCAACATATTCGAAAAAACATCTGCATAACGACTTCGATGATGAAACCAAATCGAGCTATCAGATTGACAGGTAGTGACGTTACCGCTCCATTATTTCGGAGGTATTGAATGCATTAATTGCCCCATTTTTTACTTAAAGAGAAACGTGTACGACTTAATTCAGAAGTAAAGTTGAATTATGGCCACGTCGAAAGCTGAAAAATTATAACTGAACCTGGAAAATAGAATTTAATTATGCTGTCCACCATATGACCAGAATTAAATACAGGTTCTACTAATGCCTTTTTTTAATTGCAGATTTTCTATAAAAATGTGGTATTTTTTTCACGAACTATTAAGTGCTTCGAGCTGTACATTCGGAATCGTCGTTAAAGTGCATCAGGCCAGTCTGCGTAAGCACTTAGTAGTGTGTTGGCAAACAAAAACGCAGTAAAAAATATGCTCTGAAGAGACGACAGAGTAGGATTATTAAAGCTCGTCAATGAATACACAGACGAACGTAAAAATGTACGCGACGTGTTCTATGTGCATCGTGCTCGACAGAAAGTGCCCCATATAGACGGTGCAGCAGGTGATGGCGGGTTTATTCGGACACCCGACACCAGTTTAGACATAATACAAGTTTTCGCAGAGAACTTAATCGCATGGCGAACACAACCCTGCCAGTGTGTACCTTGTAGTCCAACCTGCGTGTGTTGATTTCTTCTGTTGCTCTTCTGACACGACTGCGATTGCCGGAGTCTCTCGATCAGGGTCCATTTGGAATTCTATCGCCGGTCCTATCGTCTAGCCCAGATGACGATTCCATAGTAAGTACTTGTTTGTGCTCTCGCTACCTTCACGCCGGTAAGTCAGTGCAAGGTTGGCTTTGGGTGATAGGGTGAACGCCAAGAGGTCGATTATTTGACTCTCTACGTTTCAGTGGGTCGTTGTTTTATGTTGTTCGAGCCGATTTCACAGCTAGGTAAACATCACTCAGATATTCGACCCAAAGCCAGCACGGCTTGTCTGTTGTTTAGTGCCTGGCGTAGATTAACGAATAAGCCGTTGATTGCTACTTATAATTGAACTGATTTAAGAAACAACAAAATTTTTGTGAGAAATCGTTTACCGTGTCCTCGGCTGCATGCAGCTAAAGTGCATTATGCTACATTCTTACGAGATGAACGCGCTCTAATACTCGTTTTGGGCGCCATTCGTAATAGTGTGTCTTGCTGTCGAAAGTTAAAATGTAAATATTTGGCCCAAATCGTGAAATACTGGTCAGCTAATTTAAGGTTAATTGCTTTCAAATATCGGCACTTCCAACAGAAGTTACTGCTTCGACTCTTTCTAATGAATAAGTGATGCACAATTTCTGCAAATAAAAATTATTTACTTGTCGACGTTTCTGTTATAGCCTGAATGTTATGTCACGATTGACGAACTAGAACCTTAATGTTCGATTTTTTTTTTGTGTATTTAACTATGACAAAGTAGACAAAGAACAACAAGTCAGATCACTAGCTGCATATGGTTCACCCTTCTGTGCCTCTCCTCCGCTTTTTGGCCTACAGCCGATGATATATGTTTGACGACAAAGAAAACAAAGCTATCTCTGGCCAAGCCTAAGTTTCTTCACTCTTCATGATGTCTTCAACGCATAAACACGTTTTTCTTGGGCGTTGGCTTCGGACATGGCTTTTTCTTCATATGTGATGTTCAGAGCGACTGTTGGCCCGATGTTCAGTGCACCGGAGGTAACGCAGTGGTATCTGCCACCTGGCACCATTTATTGCAAACTGCAAAGTATTAAAAAAATCTTACTGAAACTGGCTTCGTACTGTTTGAATTCGTGTATATATTGAAATGTCACGTCATGCTCGAAACTGATACTAGTTAGAGGCTCAAACAGTCGTGACACAACAGCATGTCGAATGCAATAATGCTCGTAAATACTAATCCATGTCCCACTTAGCGTGATAGTGTCTAATGTCTTAACGTGGAAATTCGATGTAGTTCATGGCCTTAAACAACACTCATTGGATTAAATGAACAATATGCTTTATGACGAGATCTTATGACGAATTTTTACACCAGCAGATTTTGAGACGAGTCAGCAGGAGTAGCCGTGTCATAGCTTGTCTTTGTGTTAGTTTACAATGCAGTGCAGTGTTGATTTTAACCATGGCCTAACACAAAGCCGTTATGCAGGGGCAGAGCTATAAAAGTAAACATTTTACCAGTTTTTTTAGTATTTCACATCATTTCTGATATAGACAGGTCAGTGATCGGCAGGAGAATGATAACAACTACTTGTTTGTAGTATTGTTTTTGCTTTCATATACAGTAACCTTTTAAAAATCAAATTTTCCGGGCTATGATCGTGCGTTTTCCTTGTTTTTCAAAAAAAGTTGGCGTTGGCATATATATGCCATTAACGTAGCGTCAGTTAAGTCTAACTCTATGCATAAGTGCTTAGCTTGCCTAGCATCACAAGGACATTTAGGTAATTCCGCTTGTCCTCTTTATACGAGTGCTAGTTTCGACGCAATGGCGGCGCTAGTTATCCAGTAAATCAACATTATGTATCAATATAAACTTCTAATTCATTAATCCATTCGATAAAAAAAATATGATGTACATACTAGTGGTTAATAATTCGTTGTGGTATATTGAGAATCTTATAAGGTTTTCAATATCGCGTAACGAAATTTTTTCATAACTTTTACAACGGGTTGAAGTTTAAGGGCCGTCTATAGCGTTCTTATGCTTACATCTTTGCTTACGCCATCTAAGGTCTACACACAAACGATTATTGCTTTCATACACATTACGCTTACGTCGAATTGCATTTAAGCTCTCGGAGTTTGATGTGAACGTTTGAATATCCTAAATAAGATGTGTTACGTAAGATCATGAAAAAAACGACCCGTACTAATTGTTTCTTATTCTGATGCTGCTGTAGTACTTATCAGTCTTTGTATTTGTTCCATGTTCATTCCCCCTCCAGTTTGTGGGTCAGGAAAGTTTTTGAGGGGTGACAAATTCATAGCTGGCAGATTAGCACTATCAGAAGCGTTATCGTCGCATGTCAAATATAGCCGTGCACGTTTTGCTCCTATAGCTTTCCCTCAGTGAGGTTAGACGGTTTGCTTCCATTACGAGGACCCCATATCATCAGACAAGCTTTTGCTTCCTGCAGAAGCGACCTCTACTAGTCGGTATCTGGCCTATTTCAGGACTCAGGATTTTCATGCCGTCTAAGATAATTTCTTTCGGCTACCAATGGCCACAAGATCACTTTGAGATTGTCCACGATGCGAGAATTAAGGACATCTGT